GGAGGCTGTCCCCTAGGCTGCTGAGGGCAAGAGGCCCTCTGCCTTTCTAATTAAAACAGTAATATGACCGAGGCAGCCACTGGTTTCCAGCCCCATGCCAAACATTTCACAGACACCACTTCTTAGAGTGCTGCCAGCTGGCACCAAGGAAAGGACATCAGCCTCCCCTGTGGTCGGGGACACTGAAGCACAAAGAGGGAAGTCCACTTCCTGGTGAGGACAGACAGAGGTAGGACGCGAACCCAGCTTTGGGTGGCAGCTCTAAGTCATCTGAGTAGTATCGCTGTGGTTTTCTCCAAGTCCCTCACCTTTTTCTGGTTTCCTTGGACACTGGGACCCTGACTCCTTGGGACTACCAAGCTGCCCATCCAACCCCGGGCATACATTGGCTCATACAGCTCTCAGTTCTGGGGCCACTTGCTCCATCTGGGGTGCACACCCAGGGTGGGGGCAATGGAATGTTTAGCCAACTGTGATGCAGCCCTGGCCCTCTTTGGCCAGCAGTGTGACCAGGAGCAAGCCTCACCTCCCACACCTCCATTAATATATGCAGGGTGTTCAGCCCAGCAGAGACGCAGAAAACCTGAAACAGTATCATTTATTGCATTGTTTTTGTTTTCTTATTTTCTGGCCATTTGGTGGCTTTGGGACCTGGACAGAATTACTGAGAATTCCTGACCCAAGCAGGAACTGAATGAGACCTTTATATCCCCTCCTTGGGTCTCCCTCACTCATTCAGTGACCGTGCATTGGTAAGCGAGTCCCCTTGGTGTGTTTAGCTCCAATCAGATGCTGTGGGGTGCGCACTGTGAGGTTTCTGGTATTCACTGGCTCTGGGGGGTTTCCTGATCCTCAGTTTTTCCATTTGTGAAAGGGGAGCAGTAATTGACAGACTTTCTAGGGCGGTGGTGAAGCTCAAGGAAATGGCGAGAACAGTGCCTGGAGTGTGGCAAGTGTCAGTAGGTGTCACTGTGTGTGGGGCGGGGTCGGGCTAGAAGGGGTGCAGGGCACAGAAGGAGGGCACTCAGCCCTGGCCTGGACACAGTGGGGTGTGGCAGCCTCCCCCTGAGGTTTGGCCCTGTAGATCAGCTTCAAGACTGACATGGAAGGGTGGACAGGAACAGGTGCTCTGGGAACAAAGGCTCAGGGTACCCAGAAGGCAGCCTGGCTCTAGGGAGGTGGCCGTTGGTTGATGTTGGCCTCAGTGTATCCACCAGAAGAGCCAGAAGTTGTGAACCCATCTGATCATTTGAGCTCAGAAGCTCATTTGCACCTGGTATATGCTACGGACTGAGATAGACAGGAATGAGTGCTGGCCTCAAGGAGGCCACATTCTGTAGGGACATCCCTAGTGAAATCACCCCAACTGCTGGATGGCAGCATGTGATCAGGCTGCTGAAGGACATGTTCAGGAGGGTTTGCAGCTTTTCTAGACTCCTCTGGGAGAAGACAGGCAGAGGGACCGGTAGTACCAGCACTGTGGCTGGGGTGGGCCACATAGGGCCACAGAGGTGGGCTCTGGTATCAGGCCCCTGTGGGCCTCCCACGTCATGAGACAGTGCCTGTCTCACTGGAATCAAGGGATGGTTTTGGGGGACTGTGGCGCTGACCCTGTGTGGGGTATGATGCCTTACAGCTTCAGAGCGTGGGGGCCTAGGGCAGGTGTGGTCCTGCTCTTTTTTGCCTGAAAGCTTTCATTGATTACTTCACTGTGCAAAGCAACTCTGTACGAAGATGCTGAGACCCCTGTGACTGTGTGCAGAGCACTGGCCCCCAAAGTGCTCAGAGGCCGCCTGCCGTGGGGTCACTGCTGAGGCCTGGAAGTGGAGGCCAGAACCCTTGTCGCAGCTGTTCCTGTGTGCCATACCAAGGGGGCCACATGAGAAGGTGCATGTGGGGAGCACTTCCTGCCACACCCCTGCACACTGAGCCCTTTTCCCTGATCCTTCACAAACCTGATCAGAGGTGAAGCTCAATTACCTGCTTGGGATCTGAGGAGACCAAGGGTCAGAAGGCCAGCCAGGTATCAGAACCCACACGGCCAGTGTGTAGTCCCCTTTGCAGTGGGAGGGAGCCCCGGAGGGCAGGAATTTTTGTCTGTCCTCTTCACTGTTGTGTCTCCAGAGCCCAGCATGGTGCCTGGGCGCACACAGTAGGCCCTAAGGAATATTTGGGGGAGTGAATGAAAGGGAATAGACAGAGGCAGGCTTCATGCCCAGGCCCATGTGGTCCTGCAGCCTGTACCCCACACCTCTGCCATGTCTCATGATGGAGAGGCCTAGGGTGGCAATGTTCACTCGGGCCGTGTACAGCTTCATGCCAGAGCAGGGGGGGCATTTCTCTTTCTCCATCCTGAAGAGCCCCGAATGGGACCCGCCCAGCAGGCTGAGAGGAAGGACGGAGGACCAGTGGCTACCTGCAGCATCACAGCCATTCTGCACCAGGGGAGCAGAGGGGGCATGGGATTGGGGCCCTGCAGCCATGGGGCTGGAGGGATCCCTGCTTGGGGTGAGCAAGACTGCTTGTCCTGAGTCTCCATCAGAGCAGGAGATCCTTTCTCCTTTTGTGAGTTTCATTTAGTTATTCTTTTTTTTTTTTTTTTTAAGATACTGGGGATTAAACCCCGGGCCTTTACACTGAGTGACATCCCTATCCCTTTTTGTTTTTTCTTTTTTTGTTGTTGTTTTTTGTTTTTTGTTTTTCCATTTTGAGACAGGGTCTTGCTAAGTCACTAAGTTGCCCAGACTGGGCTGGAATTTGCAGTCCTCTGGCCTCAGTCTTTTAGAGTGCTGGGATTACAGGCTCTTTTTATTTGTGGCTTTATATTTTTTGTATAGACGTCAATAAACTCTCACTGCAACATTTAAATAAGGGAGACCACAGTCAGCCCTTACTCAGCTTTTCCTGGATTCTAAGGCTTTTATATTTAACTCACTGTTTTGTTTTATTTGGTACTGGGGATTGAACCCAGGCCTTCACACTGAATTACTTCGTCAGACCTTTTAATTTTTTTATTTTGAGACAGAGTTTCACTAAGTCAGTAAGTTGTCCCAGCTGGGCTTGAATTTGTGATCCACTTGCCTTAGCCTCCTAGCTTGCTGGGATTACAGGTTGGGGGCACCATGCCAGCTTCAACTCAGTCTGCATAACACTGCCATGAGGTGGGCAGATGGTGGCTCTCCTTTGACAAGTAGGGAAACTGAAGCAGAGAGGAAGTAGGTCACTCAGGGTCACATTAACTAGTTACACACTGTTGCTGGGGTTTGAACCCAAGCTCCCAAATCTCCTTAGCCATAGTCTACATATACATGGGAAGCTTTCTTTGGCTGTTTTCTCCCTGCATCCCAGATTTGGTTTGGGGTGTGACCACTGTTTCCAGATGAGCTTGTTTTTCCCAGGCCTTTCTTGTCCACCATTTAAAGGTGTTAATGTACATGGATAAACTGTAGTTTGGTTTTCTGTGTGTTTATATAGACAGGATTGTACATTTGCACTGTTCTATGGTTTGCTTTGTGGCTTACCTTTGTGCCTTGCGGCGCTCCTGGAAGTGGCAGTTAGGAGCTACTATACCCTTTCCAATGGCTTGTAGAACATTCCACCCTATGGAATGGGCCCTAGTTCATTCCAGTAGCTCCTGACTGTTTGGCATTTGGGTTGTAACTAATTTTCCGCTATTATGAACATTGCCATAGGAAGTATCCAGCAGAAAATTGTTCTGTACTTGCCTTTCTGTGCATATGAGCAAGTGTGTATCTCAAATACTTAAACATGAGTTGCTGGGTTTAAAATTGGTTGTGTCAAGAACCAGCAGCATTGTAGGGGAGTTCCTATTTCCCAGCCTTTTCACCAGCACTAGGTATTAACTAGTAATTTAAAAATTTTTAATTGACTTTTTTTTTTTTTGGTACCAGGAATCAAACTCAGCACCTTTCACTTGCCAGGCAGGCATGGTTCCAATTCATTGACTTTTTGAGGCTGAGTTTTACAATATAGTACAGGCTGACCTGAAACTCCTATGTAGCCCAGCCTAGGAACTATTGATTGTCATGAACTATTATTGATCACCCTGCCTCAGGCCCTAGGTGCTAGGATTAAAGGCATGTGGTGGTGGTAATTTTTATTTTTTGTTTTTGTGGTGCTGGGGATTAAACCCAGGTCCTTGTACATGCTAGCTGGGTGAACTGAGTTCCATTCCATTCCTAGCCCTCCCCACCCCCCCGGCAATGTGAGTAGGTATGTATTTTGCTGTTTTGTGTGTTGGTTGTTTCTTGAGACAGGGTCTTGCTATGTAGTTCAGGCTGGCCCTGAACTCTTAGCAGTGCTCCTGCCTTTGCCTTGCTAGTGCTCGGATGACAGGTATATGCTCCACACCCAGCCTTGTTACTGTATTTTAAACCTGGCACCTGGAAATGCTAGACAAGCACTCCACTGCTGAGCTACATCCCCAGCCCTTTTTCCCCTTCTCCTTCTTCCTCCTCTTTCCCATCTTCTTCCTTCTCTTCCTCTTCTTCCTCCTCCTCTTCCTCTTCCTTCTCATCTTATTTTTTTTTTAAAATTTTGAGATTGTCTTGCTATAAATTGCCCAGGCTGGCCTCAAACTTGAACCTCTTGCTTTGCCTTCCTGAGTAGCTGGGATTACAGGTGTCCGCCCATGCTCTGTGCCCAGTTTTTGATTTTGATGCAGTACAGGTGAACAGCTTTCTGGTGGTGGCTTGAAGTGCAGTCCTTCCCCCGGCCTCCATCCACTTAATGTGGTTTCAGTTGCCTGTGGTCAACCAGGGTCTGAAAATATTCAATGGAAACTTCTAGAAATAAGAATCAATGCATCTGAAATATCCCTGGCTCAGCCAGTGTGATTAGAATTTCCCCGCCGCCCGCGTCCATGCTGTATGTGCCCAGCACCCAGGCCTTCCTGGGGTGGGAGGTGCTCCTGGTTTCCGGATCTCCGGGGTCCCCACCACCCGCGCCTGTCGCTCACCCTGTGCCCTTTTGCCTTTCAGCCTGGCCGCCCAGCCTCGGTCTCCGCCATGAATGGGCCCACCCTGCAGCCTCCCGCGCCGCAGCCTGCTGCCCCGCAGTCCCCCGCGCCCCCGCGTGCCTGGAGCGAGTTCTGCGAGCTGCACGCCGTGGCTGCGGCCCGCGAGCTGGCACGGCAGTACTGGGCCTTCGCGCGTCAGCACCCGCAGCACGCTCCGCCGCGCGCCGAGCTCGTGTCGCTGCGCTTCGCAGACCTCTTCCAGCACTACTTCTGCCTTGAGCTGCGCGACGCCCGAGCTGGCGGACCCCCGGGCCGTGACTACCGCGAGGCGGCTCGTGGGCCAGCTGCCAAGGCCGAGGTGCCCGAGCCGGGTCCTGTCCCCGCCGCTGCGCTGCCCAAGGCCCGCAGCTCCGAGGACCTGGCCCTGCCACGCATGCCAGGTGCCTGCGCCCTCCAGCAGCTGCGCCGCGGCCTGCGCCACCTCTTCCGCCGCCGCTCGGCCGGGGAGCTGCCCGCTGCCTGCGGCCCCGGGGACCCAGGTGAGGCCCCTGCTCGGTCTGGCCCCGCCCGGAAGCTGCTGCCCTGGAGCCTGGCCCGGGAGCCGCCGCCTGACGCCCTCAAAGAAGAGGCGCTGCGCTACAGCGTGGCTGATGAGGCGTCCATGGATAGCGGCGCACGCTGGCAGAGAGGTAGACTGGTGCTCCGCCGTGTGCCCGGCCCCGCCGGCGGCTCAGACCGCGTGCTGCAGCTCTTCGACCCGCCCAAGGTAAGCACTGTTTTGGGCTGCGCACAGCGCCAGGGGAACCCTGGGGAGGTAGGCACGGTAACATTTTCCCAGGCTGTAGGAAAGTAGGACATTTTAATTGAACCTTTTATCGCAGAATCTGTTGCAAAAAAGTACAAGGTTCAGTACTATCGTGTGTGTTTGTCATAATTTAGGAACCTGCCCTGGCATACTGCTGTTACGGAAGTCCACGAACTTTGTAGATTGCCCGGGGAAACTATTTTTGAGTCACAGGTGGCTGTCATGTGGGCTAGATCCAAAGTCCTTGAAAATCTTGAAGTAGCTGACAGCGACAAATGGATGTTTTATTTCCAGAGGGGTCAGAACTGTTAAATTCCTTTGCATCACCCACGCTTTATCTGTCTTCTTTTCTTTCGAGTTAAGACAAATTTTGTCACGGGGCCTGGCGGTGCAACCTGTAATCCCTGCACCCTGGGAGGCTGAAGCTGGTGATCTGTAAATTTGAGCCCGCCCTGGGCAGTTTAGCAAATAGTGAGATATGCTGTATCAAAATAAAAAAGGGCTGGGGATGTAGCTCAATGTGAAGGCCCTGTGTTCAACTCCCAGCACCGCTAAATAAATAATATAAAAGGGGCTGGGGTCACAGCCCCTGTGGGTTTGATCCCTCATACCACACACAAAACATTTTTGTCCTTTTCCTTGGCAGCCAGCCTAATGCCTCCTGTGCAGCTGAAGCTGCAGATCATGCACTCTGCACACTGAGCTCCATCTTTGGGTCAGGTGCGTGGTCCTCTTATGTGCCAGGGCCTCTCTGTAGGATGAGCAGAACAGAGAGAGCTCTCTGAGTGTGCTGTCTGTGGGCTCAGGCTGGGTTAGGGGAGCTGCACTCCAGGCAGGCAGTTGAAGGACAAAGCACAGGTGAGCCCCGGGGTCACAAACCAAGTGTGCCCTGGAGGTCTTCGGGAGGGGAACTAAGGGGTGGGGCTTCTCCCAGTGCCCTTGCTTGCAGTGACCTTTTTAAACTTCAACACAGTGTCACGTGCATCTGCTGCAGTTCTGACCGGCTTTCTGTGTGTGTGCACCCACGTCACCCAGTGTCCGAGGGCTCCCCATGCTCCCATGCCAACACCGTACCCCACACAGATGTCTCTGAACATCATGCACATGGATCACACAGCCTGTCACCTTTATGTCCGGCTCCTTTATTGTGTTAGAGATTCACATGTCCTTCTGTGTATTGAAACAGTCCTTGTTTTTTTAAAATTTTGCACAGATGGGGATGGAACCTAGAACTTTGCACATGCTAGGCAAGCACTCTGCTACTGAGCCAAAAACTCCAGCCCTTTTTAGTTTTCTTTCTGAGCCAAGGCCCCAGTTGCCCAGGTTGACTTTGAACTTGGGATCTTCCGGCCTCAGCCTCCTGTATAGCTGTGTTGGCAGGTGTGTGCCACTGTTCCTGGGTCTACTTTGGGACTTGGATGAAGTTTATGTGTAGGTCTTTGTGGGGACACATGCTGCCATTTCTCCTGATAGGATTTCTAGGAGTGGTATTGCTAGATCATAGGGTAAGCACACGTTTAATCTTATAAGAAACTGCTATATATTTCACAAAGTGGCCACCCCATTTTGTGTCCCTGGTAGCAGTGCCTCAGAGTCTCCTGGTTGCATACCCTCAGTAGAACTCGGGGTTGGATGTGCACAATGTCTCTTCTAGTGGGGTGTGTGTGTGTGTCAGTGTGACTTTAGTTTGCATTCCCTGACAAATATCACTGTTTATCAGCCATGGGAATTCACTCTTTGGTGAAGCACCTGCTGTTTTGATTCTTCCTGTCCTTGTGTGAGAGATTTTATATACTCTGGGCACTTGCTTGGCACTGAATATCCTTTCCCACCTCATGGGCTGCCTTTGTAACCCCAGAGTCCTTGAGTCTAATGAAGTGTGGTCATCAGTTGCCTCCCTTTATAGGTGGTGCTTTTTGTGTCCTGCTTCCAGCGTCTTTGCCTGAGCTGTGCCAGGCAGTGTGCTCTGGTCTTTCGGAGGCCTTGCTGTCTGGGCCTTCACATTTTGGACTGGGAGGTCCCTGGGTCAGCTTTATGGTTGGTATGAGGCAGTAGATGCTGCAGTCTTCCCTTCCACCTGTGCCGTCCCCTGCTGTGACCGTTTTGGCCTACCAGACTATAGCATCATGTTCATCCTGAGTCTGGGGTGCATCGTGGGCTGTTCCTTGGGACAGTATTCAGTTCTGTTGGCCGAGGCAGCCGTCAGACCAATACTCTGTCCTGTTGCCACTGTTTTACATGAGTCTCACAGGGTGACTTTTGGACTGAGGGGCTGGATCCAGGCAGCAATGGGAAATGTTCAGCGTGGTTTTTTTTTTTCTTTTTTCTTTTTTTTTTGAGACAAGGTCTCACTATGTAGTTCAGGCTGGCCTTGAACTCACTGTGTAGCCCAGGCTGACCTCAAACTAGAAATATCCTCCTGCCTCAGCCTCCTGAGTCCTGGGATTACAGGTGTGTGCCACTATATTGGCTTATTCAGTGTGTTTTGCAGAACAAGGAAAAAGGTCATAGGAAGGAGCGAGGAAGCCCATGAAGGGGATGCCCTGAGGCCTGAGCATCAATTCCATGAAGCCGTCAGAAAGCTCCATGTGCAGACAAAAGCTTACTCACCATTTGTAAAAGGCAAGGATAGGACACAACTTCTGCTCACAGTGGCCATCTGGGAAGTTGGTGTCAGCAGTGGACAGCCCTGGAATTGCAGGGTGAATCCTCATCTGCAGCTCGGGGCTGCTTCTCCTGGTCCTAGCTAACCCTCTCTGCTCTTGGGCCCCAGGGTGGGAACTGGGGAGTGGCTGTAGCTGGGACTCTGGTTCTCATCTTGTTGCAGTGTGTTTTAGGGGTGCCTCTGGGCTGAGAATAGGTTTTTTGTGTGTGCTGGGGATCGAACTCGGGACCTTGGGCTTGGGCGGCAGGCGCTGGAACCACTGAGCTAAATCCCCGGCCCGAGAACAGGTTTGTTTCCAGTGCTGGGCTGGTCCTTCGGGCCCTGATGGTGGCCCCGGTCGATGTCCTTTGGGCTCTGCCGCTCTGGGGAAGCCAAGTGTGGGTGCTGCTGTCCTATGGGCTCGTCCCGGGCCACCTAGGGCTCTGTCTCAGGCCCAGGGTTACTGTGAAGTTGAGGGTTTGTCTGCAGAGTGGGTCACTCCTGGTCTGGCCCGCCAGTTTCTGGCCTGACAGCTGGTTGGGAGCACTCAGAGCATCTGCTGTCCAGGCTGAGGGTCCTGTGTGCACCCGAGCAGAGATCACCCTTGCCCTTGCCTGTGGGGAGGGCTGGGGCTTTGGGTTCCCTTCTGAACTGTTACCTCAGGAGCTCTGCCTGGAGGGAACAGGTACCATCCTGCTGCCAGCCTGGAGGAGGCCCTGTGGCTTGAAGCAGGAAGACTGGAGCACAGCAGTGGCCAGAGGGCTGTCACCTACTGTGTCTCTCAGGCTCAGCCAAGCAGACTGTCCTAGAAGTCCCAGGCTGGGTGGCCCAAGGCCCTGGACCAGCCTCCTGTAAAGCCAGGTCAGCTCCCTGTGAGCTGCAGTGGCCCTGACCTTCTACTCTCGGAGTCTTAGTCTTGCTTATTTATGTGGTAGGGGTGATACCAGTGACCACTCGAGGGCCACCATGAGGGCTGCAGTGGGAGAGAGCCTGTTACTGGGGGCGTGCAAAGGGAGGCCCCTGTCTGCTACAGGTAGGGGAGGTCAGAGGAGACAATGTGCTGTCCCAAGGTCAGGAGATGGAGAAGTCACAGCCCTGGTTTCAGTGATGTCCCTGCAGCTGGCAGGAGCCGAAGTGACTCCTGCTGAGCTCTGGTCCTTGGTCCTTGGGAGGAGGCCTGGCCTCTGCTAGGGGACAGCCCTGGAAGCACCTCAGCAGGAAGTGTAGGGCTCTGGACCTCTGTAATGCAGGGCCCTGGGGGCACACACACCAGGCAGGCAGGGCTTGCATGGGGCCAGAAAGGTGATGGGGCCTTGAGGCCATGAGAACAATCAAATGGCTTAGCCCACAGGCTGCCTGGTGAGGACAGTGAGCTAGAGCTTTTGGAGCCACCTGTGGCCTCTAATCAGGTTGGGGAGAGAGAGCGTGGCCCAGTTCTTGCCCTGAAAGACCCTGGGCAGGCCTGGGGGAGCCTGGCAGGCTGCTGAGGGAGTGTGGGGCTCTTAGCAGACACCGCCTTAGGCCCACCCTGCTGTGAGGCAGCTGCTGTGACATCCTTTGTCTCACAGATGGGGACGCTCAGGCTGAGAGAGGTCAGGCGACTTTCCCACCGTCACTCTGGTTGTGAGTGGGCAAGGGAACGGAACCTAAGCAGCGCCCATGCCCTCAGAAGGACCTGGTGCTGCTGTGATTGTTTTTGGTGTGATTACACCTGGGGCCCTTCCTGGCTGGCACATCTGCTTTGGGTCCTGTGGCAATTGTCTGGGTCACTGTTCTACAGATGGGTACACTGAGGCCCGTGGGGCTGCCCAGCGACCCTTCACCTGGACCTCGTCTGTGGTTTCCAATGCACAGCCTGGCAGAGAGGTGCAGGAAAGCAGTGGGGACAGCATGGGCCCAGCCCTGCGCATCCCTGCATGGAGGAGGTCTGGCCAGGCCTTGGGGCCACTCACTGTGTTCAGAGCTGTCCTCTGTGCTCCTTGGGCAGGGGGCTGGGCCTCAGTGTTCCCGTCGTGGTGTCCAGCAGGGGACAGCGCAGGGTGGTTGGAGCCTCAGTCTGGTGCCCCTCTCTGGAGTGAACTTAACTATGGGCTGGGCTGCCCAGCTGCGCCTGCTGCACAGATGAGGAAACTGAGGCCCGGGCAGGGCCCAGGGAGCCCCTGCCACCCAGTCGGCCTGTGGGAAAGAGGAAGCAGAGAGCAAGGACGTCCGCCGGGGCCTGGCGGTTTCCTCTGAGGTGGGAGCAGGAGCTGAGGCTCGGTGGGCAGGAAGCAGCCGGGCGGGGTGCGGCCTCCTGTGGGCGCACAGGCCTGGGTGTCAGTGCTGCCCTGCACACTGTGGCCCTCAGGGAGGGTGCTTTGCCTGCTCTGTGCTTGGTTTCCTCACGAAGGCACAGCTGAACAAAGGCCCCCAGAGTCGGCTGGGCTGTGGGGTCCGTGTCCATCGTGTTCCCCCTGATTGTCCTTACTGTGTCCATGTGACAGGCACCGCATTTGATACGAACCCCATGAGGGGGACAGTTATGAAACCATCTCACAGTTGAGGACACTGAGGCCCAGATAGAGACACCTGCCTGAAGCCACACAACTGGGCAACGGAGGAGTCAGAACCAGAGTCCTGTGTGGGCCATCAGGACCCGAGCACCAGGGGCTGGGGCAGAGCAAACACCCCTGCCCAACAGGACTCACTCTGCCCTGGGCTGCCGTGTGGGGCGGGCAAGTGCCACTCCTGTCTGAGCTGTGAAGTGGATTCGGTGACCACGGGCTTGATCTGGATGGTCTAGGACTGGTGGGGGAAGAAGGAAGGGGGCGTGCAGGGCGCTCTGGGGTCCCCACCACATGCAGAGTAGCCCTGTTGGCTCCCTTATTGGGGTTCTGAATAAAATCGCTTTTGAAAAAGTGCTTTGCCGCTTAGAAGAAACCCCGACCGCGCTGAGACCGCGGGCAGATGGTATCGGTGTGCTTCCTTTCTGCTCAAATTCTATGAATCCACAGCCTGGAAAGTTCCCCAGTGGGGAGGTGCTGTTATCGCCCACCCTGGTGCCTGGGGGCCCTGTTCCCCCTCCTGCTCCAAGGCCTCTGAAGCGGGTCTCGTTTGTGTGTAGGGGCTGGGTGTTGAGATGAGGCCATCCTGGAGTCAGAGCTGTGGGCTTGGAGGCTGGGGTCAGTGTGGGGATCGTGGGTGCAGCGGAAGGGCAGGTGAGGCGGTGCGAGTTCAGACCTTGCCCTGTAGGTCCAGGCTGAGAATTTGGCCACTCTCCGCAGGCTGGGGCGGGGTTGGCAGGACTGGCTCCCACTCGTAGGGCTTCTTCCACTGGCAGCACCAGGTCCGGGGCCCTGACGGGCAGCGGCAAGGCAGGCACCGCTGGCGGGCAGGGCTGTGGAAATCCCCCGCCTACCGCGCAGCGGAGGGAAAGGAAATGGAGCGCAGAGTGGGGGAGGGGAGGGGGCTTCCTCCTCAGGCGGCGGCGGGGCCACAGCCCTGGTTCCTATCTCCCTGAGCTGCCTCGCCAGGAGCCAGGGCATGGTGTTCACCTGGGGGAGCCGGAGGGCCGCCTGGTCTGGGGACAGCCACCCCTCCCCTGGCTCACAGGCTCCCCTGCTGCAGGCTGGGAGGAGCGGCCAGCCTCCAAGGCCCTTAGCTTGGCTCCATAGGGAGCCCCGAGACGTGCAGTCTTCTCTGAAAGCTGTGGTAATCTAGGAAATCTTCGTGATGTGCAGCAGCCTCCACACCTGACTTCCCAGTGTTTGGTTTTTCAGTTTCCAAAAACGCTCAGGGCAGAAATTATGTATTAAAGTAAAAAATAACCAAACAACTACACATTGCCTCACTATGTAGAGAGGCCGAGCCGTGGGCATTTGTCTTTGTAGTCTTGTCTCCTTGTCTGTCTTTAACTCCCCTCCACCCACAAGTTGCAGTTCCTTCAGGGTCTGCTTACCTGTCTATCTCTCTCTCTCCCCCTGCTGCTCCCCCTCTCCCCCTTCTATTGTGGTGCCAAGGATGGAACCCAGGACTAGGCAAGCACTCCACCACTGCATCCCCAGCCCCTTTTGAGACAGGGCCTTGCTAAATTGCCCTGCCTGGTCTTGAACTAGACCCTCCTGCCTCAGCCTCCTGAAGAGTGGAATCACAGGTGCGCACCTCCATGCCATTTGCTCCTATCCTTGCAGCTCTCTGGAGACCCCACGGCCTTCCAGGCCCTTGCTTACTGCTGGGGACACAGCTGGGAATTATGGGAAGAAAACTCCAGTCCTTGTGGGCCTCACCGTCCCTCAACTAAACTGTGGCCTTGCTTTTTGTTTCATGATTTTGAACTTTTCTGTATCCCTAGTTTTCAAGGACGTATTTTTAGCTATACAGTGATCTACTGGTATAAATAACCCACGGTACGTGTATCTTGTCCCTGTTTGTTATTCTTTCTTTCAAGACACGGTTTCCCTGTGTAGTCCAGGCCGGCCTTGAACTCACTATGTAGCCCAGGCTGGCCTCTGATACATGATCCTCCTGCATCAGCCTCCCAAGTGCTGGACTACAGGCATAGGCCATCACTCTCAGATTTTTATCCCTTCTATTGTCTGGACCCATTTCTGACTGTTTTGCTAATGTAGATAGCCTGTGACATCTGGCTGGCGTAGGAATCTGTTTTGTGTGTGGGGGGGTGCTTTTTGAGACAGGGTCTTGTTACATGGCCCAGGCTGGCCTAGAACTTGTGATTCTCCTGCCACAGCCTCCCCAGTGCTGGGACTATAGGCGTGCACCACCATGGCCAGCTGGCACAGGAATCTTGGTGCCCTTCTTGGATTATTTCCATAGGGGACATTCTTAGAAAGGGGGAGTGCTGGGCCAGGGTTCTAGGAGCACTTGTAATTCATGCCGAACCTCAAGCCCAAAGCCACACTGAGAGATCATTCACATGCTCTAAACTCACGTGTATGCAGAGCAGCAGGGCCGTTACTGAGTCTGTGTGAGGATATCTTCATCTCAGAGGAAACCTGTCCCCACGAGCAGTTCTTCCTCAGCCTTCTCTCACCCTCTGGTGACCACCCTGCTCGCGACTCTGTGGGTTTGTCTATCTAAGGTATTTTGTGGAATCACACAATATGCAGTCCCTTTTGTCTGGCTTACTTCCCTTAGCTTGATGTTCTGCGAAGCTCACCCAATGCCATGTCATGTGTCAGTATTTGGTTTCTATTTTTGGCGGATATTCCGGGTGCGTGGATTCACCACATTTTGTTTATTCATTTGTCAACTGGCGGGCATTGGGTGGGTCCCACTTTTTGCTATTGTTAATGCCGCTTTGGACTCCATGCATAAGCGGGCATGTGTTTTCATTTATCTTGCTTCTCTTCTGTGTTCAGGAGTGCGTAATTGTTTTTGTGGAGCTGCCAAGCTGTTTTCCAAAACTGCAGCACAGTGTTGCAGTTCCATGAGGGCTTGAGGTTCTGGTTTCCCCACCTCCTGGCCATCCCACCGCCTCATCCTGGCTTTGAGTGACTCTTCCCTGGGGCCACTGATGTGGAGCACCTTTCATGTGCTTGAGGCTCCCCGCCACCTTTAGATGCACTGGCTCAGACCCAGGGTCTTAAGCTCAAACTCTTACCACTACCCAAACCCCTCAACCATAACTGGCTTTCTGCTGTGCTATTCCAAGTAGCTTCCGGAAAGCTTGCACCCATTTATCTTCTCATCACCAATGTTGCTAGCACTGGGTTTTCTTTTGGTACTGGGGACTGAACTCAGGACCTTGGGCTTGCAAGGCAGGCGGTGGAACCACTGAGCTAAATCCCCGGCCCAGCACTGGGTATTCTTAACATTTTGCTCCTGGGTGTGGTGATGCATACCTGTAATCCCAGCTGGCTGATCACCATGGGTTTGAGGCCAACCTGGGTTACGTAGTGAGACCCTGTCTCACCCCCCCCCAAAAAAAACCCCTTTGCTAGGTTCTGGATAAAAAGTGGTTGTCACCTGGGCATGGTAGCACAAATCTGTGATCCCTGCACTCAGGAGGCTTGCCAAGAGCTCAAGGCCAATCTGAACTACATAGCAAGACTCCATCTCAAAAAGCCAAAAACAAAACAAAACTTGGGATGTAGTTCAGTGCATAGGCCCTAGGTTCAGTCCCTAGTGCCCCCCTCAACACCAGTTTACCTTTTCTGATTCTGATTGACCATATATTTTTAAAAACTGAGATATAATCCCCTACCATAGAATTCCTATACCTGTTACCAAACCCTAGCCTCCTTTCCCCCAGTCCCTGACAGCCACTAATCTACTGCCTGTCCCCGTGGGCTCCACTCTGTTTCTTGGTCATATGTGCTATTGTGACTTATGAGGCATTTACTTTGCTTGCTTTTCTGTACTGTCTGGCCTTTTTTTTGTTGTTGATTTGCAAGTGCCTTTTACATGTCACAGATTTTAGCTATTCCTGTCACAGCTTACAAGTATTTTTCTAGTTCATCATTTCACCTTGCTTTGTTCGAGTCCTTGGCCTACTGAGGTATTTTAAAGTTTTAGGCAGTGAAGTCTAGGCAGTCTCATTTGTTGTTTTTCTGCTTAGAAAGACCCCCACTCCACCAATAATTGCTTCTGTGGGGTGGCCAGGAGCCCCAGTGGCTCTTTTTACCTTTTCTTCTGAATCATCATTCTTCGAAGGCAGCAGTGGCCACCGCCCAGGGCTTCTGGTGGTGATGAGCCCCTCCTCAGGTGCATTCTCCCGTCAGAGTGCAGCTCATGACAGAGGCTATCTTGACTCTAACCACAGCTTTTTCCACCTCCCTGGCACCGAGCCTGCCCGGCTGGGCTGGGGCTTCCCCAGCTGCTCCTGCTCTGTGGGGCTGGAGCTGGGGCCATCCTGTGGTTCCCCTGACACAGGGCACCCCCTCCCACTGTGACACCCACAGGCCCATGGGCCCTCCTGCTCAGGGCCTGGCACATGGTGTGGCCTTGGGTTGAGCCCAGCCTGGTGCTGGTGGCCTGGGGTGGCTGGGACCTTGAAGCAGAGGGAGGGACAGCCTGGTTGCTGTGGAAGCAGAAGGCCCAGCAGTGCAATGGCTGGTGTAGGATGCGTCTCCTGCATGGTACCTGAAGGGCGGCCTGTGTCAAGAAATCTCAGGTCAGTGTGGTGGGACCTGGCCCCATTCCCTCTGCCTGCTGGGCCTACCACTGTCCCCAGGTGAGCTGGGAGGGCACTGGTCCCCATGAAAGGCAGGAGAGTGGGCTCCTGGGTGTCGCCATAGGCTGGCCCACCATCATGTGGCTGTGGGCTGTGCCTGTCACTCATTCTGATGGGGGCAGGTGCCTCCTAGGATTGAGAGGTGTTCACTTGGGTGCATTTAGGCAAGTCCCCACTGCTGCCTGTGCCCCCTTCCCCCTATGCCCAGGACCTGTCTTGGGCAGGTGACTCCATGCAGGAAGGGGTGAGGAGGGGACCCAGGAGGAGGGCTGTGTTAGGGCCTCACCTGCTGGTCTCTGGCTGGGGCAGTCTCTGGGCCTGGTGGGGGGGGGGGCTGTGTCAGGAAGGGGGAAGACGAAGCCATCATCACTTTCCTAGAACCTTCTCCCACCTTTCTTGACCGCTGTGGGGAGAGCGCACACAGGGCAGGAGTTCTCAGCACAGGTCTTCTCAGCATCCCCATTTTATGGAGGGGACTCACTTGGGTCAGAGAGGAAAAAGTGTCTGGGGCAGAGCAAGGAAGCAACCTGTGGCCTCTGTCTTAACACCGGTCAGCTCCTGGGATGGCTCATTGCCTTCACTTGCCACCAAGGAGCCAGGGAATAAGGGGTGAGAACCCCTTTATCACCAGTCACCTCTGCTACCAGACACAGGGCATCCCTGCAGCTGCGCTGGCTGGGAACAAGGCGTGGCACCTGCCTCGAACGGAAGGGGACTCCCAGTCAGGTGGCGGAGGCAGCTGTGTCACCAGGAAACTATGGCCAGCCTGATAAGCTGAAGGGGGGCCGGGAATCACACTGCCGGTGGCTGGGTGGTTGGGGCAGGTGCCAAGGAAGGGGGGCTTCCTCTGTTCAGATGTGTAGTTAGGATCAGGCAGGGTGACGCAAAAGGGGGAGAATGCGAGGCCCAGAGGGCAGATGCCAGACTCCGGGGCTGTGGCCAGGGACTCTGCCTGTCTCCATTTCCTGCCTGCAGCACGAGGTTCCCAGCAGAGCTGCTGTGGGTGTTTGGGCCCCAAACCTGAGAAGCAGCTCTCTGCTGCCCTTTTCCTGGCCAGTGTGCCTGGGAGCCTGCCCAATTGTGCCGGTTCTCATCCCTCACCTGAAATCCTTGCTGCGGAGTGGACCCAGTAGGGGCCATACCACTGTGTCCCCACTGAGTGCCCAGGATGCTGCAGAAAGGAGCCCCACTGAATCCGGGCACCAGAGCCAGGCTCTAGGCTCATGCCGGGGTTGCCACGCATGCAAAACCAAGTCCCCACAGAGTTCAGGAGCCCAGAAATGAGCAAGTGGTCACTGACCGTTTCCCAGGCTGTTAATGGTGGTGGTGGTGACTGTAGTCAGCAGGGCCTCCCTGAGGGGATGCTGGAGCTGTGCCCTGGATCTGAGCAGCAGCCAGGACTGTAAAGATGCGGGGCACTTGTCTCAGGCAGAGGCACAGTGGTGCAAAGGCTGCGCGCATGCTTGGTGCGCCACAACAGCGGCAGAAGCCCAAGGGCTGGATCAGAGTGGGTGGGAGGTCAGGAGCCCCTGGGGTCTTGGGGCCACAATAGATGGGCAGGGCCATGAGCTGGCAAGTGACGAATTTTGGATCTGGAGTCTCTGACGGAGCTGAGCTCATAGCAGTTCCTTTTGGTGCCGCCCACCTGTTGGGGCTCAGGCTATCACCCTGTTCCAGCTGGACACCTCACCCCAAAGCAGGGTTTCCCTCTGAGCCCCGCCTTTGGCTCCAGGCTGCCTGGCCCCCAGCTCATGCTCCAGTTATCTATAGTTCTGCTTTGGAGGGGGATGCACCCCCTCCTCCAAGTCTTCAGTGGCTCCCTAGTACCTCAGGCCCCAGGCTCCATCATGCACACACCACTCACCCGGATGCTGGTGGGTTTTAGCCCTCCCTCACCCAGGGCCCATATCCAGAGGCTCCATGCCAGGCTGTAGTGTTTCTCTGCTGTGATCAGTACCCCAGAAAGCCACCTGAGCCTCTGTTTCCCCATTTGTGAAGCACAATCAAGCACCAGGCTGTGGGCTACTGCAGTGTCAAGTGAGGCCTTCCATGCTCTGTTCTGCACCTGGAGACAACCCAGGGTGGGGTGAGGAGGGCTCCCCTCACAAATGCAACATTGCTCGATATTAAGAATTCCTCCTGAAACTGTCCAACTCCTTAGTCCTGCTGTCTCCTCCCCATGCTGTGCAGCTCACTCCTGTGACTTCCTCTTGGGGAATTTCTGAAATGTCACCAGCCTGTGAATTCCACCTTCTGGAAGCCAGTGTGGGACAGCCTGGCTCCAGCACTCACATGGTGGGAGCTTGCCCAGAGGGGTGGGCCAGGGCTAAGGTGACATTCTAGCCACAGCCCAATCTCCTGGGCTCATTCTTGGTGGCCCCCACTTCAGAAAACAGCTGAGAGGACCAGGCTTAGGAAGTCGGTGAGGTGAGGCTTCTTCAAGTCAGTTCCCATCCCGTTGCCTTCTGATGGGAATGAGCTGTGTGGAAGGACAAGATCTGGGGGGATGCATGCCTTCACCAGGTTTCTCTGCTCAGAACTTCTCTGAGCCCTTGATAGGCTGCAGGGCACCAACAGCTGTCATCCCTTAAGAGAATCCCGCTTTGCCTTGGCTGCCAGGAAGCTCACAGAGTTGGGACAAATGGGACTCTGGTTTGTTTTAGCAGTTGTCTCCTTCCTAGTTTTTCCTGGGTATCTCTATAACCTAAAATCTTTTTTGGAACAAGGCCTATTTTTTTTCTTAGGTTGGCTTTTTGTTTGAGACAGGGTCTTGCTGCGTAGCTCAGGCTAGCCTAGAACTCACGACTCACACCGACCCTTGTGTCCTTATGGGTGTGCGCCCATCATGCCTGGGTAGGTTGGCTTTTTGACACCAACAAACTGGATCGAGTGTTTCCTGTTAATAGTGTTCATCTATCTGTCTAGGCAGCATCCATGAGCTGGGTCGGACAACCCAGGTATCCACAAGGGGCTGGCACTGTCTCAGCCTTTCCTGTATCTGCAGGACCTGCTCGTCAGCCCCATGTTACTGAAAGGAAACCATGGCAAGGCCACAAGGCAGTTGTTGGCAGAGCCAGGCCCCAGGTTGCACGAAGCCTCCCTGAGGGTGTGGGCCTGGCCAGACTGTGGGCTTTGAGACACAGGCTGCCAAGGGAGCGGTTGTGCCAGGGAGTGGAGGTCTCTTCTTGAGGCTTTGTGAGTCCCTCGCTGGCAGTCTGGCCTGCAGTGGCTGGGAAGAGGTGGCACAGAGGTGGGGGAAGGCGACTGTGAGAGGCTTGCTGTCCTCCCTTGGGACTGGGTCTTCAGTGCCAGGTCCCTGGCTGCTTGGTTGTGAATTAGATGCCCCTGACCCTACCTTTTCCCGTTTCCCAAGGAGCAGGGACAACTCGCCAGCCTGCTTCTTGGTGAGGGTTGTGTGCCACATCTGTCTAGCCACCACTTACTTGCACTGTGCCACCTCGGAGAAGTTGAGGTGCATCTCTCTGGCCAGAGCTCCCTCGCTGGCTTCTGGGGATTCCTGACACAGCCTCACTTCCTGCATCTTCCTGGGGGGCAGGCCCTCTCTTCACGAAGCCTCCACGCTGGAAGGGAAGCTCCATGAGGTCAGGGCAGAGCGGGTGCAGCCCTGGAAGGTGCCAGGGCACCGAGGTGGGTCCACACGGCCGGGGAAGCAGTGGGGCTCCAGCTTGTCACTGCTGTCCTCCACGCAGGGCTGGAGGCTCAAAGCCTGGGTGGGAGGGTGGGGGTCAGCAGCATTTGGGGCTCAGCTGGACAAACTCCTTCTGTCCGATGCCTCTAAAGGGACAAGACATGACAAGCCTAGAGCCAGGCACTGCTGTCTTCAGAAACACACAGGGTGCTCTGCCCAGCCTGCATGCCTCTGAGGGAGAGGAGCCCAGCCAGCTGCCTCTGGCCGTCTCCCACCGCCTCCCGGGCTTCTTCCCCCTGTGCAGCCACCTGGCATCAAATGGCTCTGGAGGAACAATCTCACGAACTTGGCAAGGGAGGAGAGGGGTGTGTGTGGTGCTGGTGGTGCTTCTGAGGCAACTCCCCCTTCACAGGAAGCTGGCTGCTCAGTTCTAGGGTGACCCTGAACCTTCTGCTTGAGCACAGGCTCCTACTGCACCAGCCCCAGCCCCAGCCCCAGCCCTTTAGGCCCAGGAAGGTGGCCTCCCACCTTGCAGGCAGCCCTGTGTGTGATCACCAGTGTGGGGCTGCGCTCATTAGCTGCAGGCATGCTACACTTTGCCCCTTTGTGTTTGGTGTGATGTGGCAGGTCACTGACTGGGTACAGACCCCTGTGTGTGGCCAGTGACAGGCAGGCAAACTCGGTCAAAGATGGAATGTGGCCATGAATCAGCATAGGTCCTTAGGCTTCAGTGGTGGCCAGGACCCGAGGGGAAGGCGTGCTGGACCTGCCTCCAGGTCCCACCTGCTCAGCACCAACAGCACTCTGGGGAGTCTTGGGAACCATGGGAAGCCTGGAGCACCCCCTCTCCATTTCCTAGAGTTCAAAGCCCAAGCTGCAGGCAGCCTGCTCCAGCATCCAGGAGGTCCGGCGGTGCACGCGCCTGGAGATGCCTGACAACCTCTATACCTTCGTGCTGAAGGTGAGTGATGGCAAGACTCTGACACCTGAGGGTGGGGGCGACACTCCTCGGACTCACACAGCCATCCCCTTCCTACCTGCCAGGTAAAGGATAGGACAGACATCATCTTCGAGGTGGGAGATGAGCAGCAGCTGAACTCGTGGATGGCCGAGCTCTGGGAGTACACTGGCCAAGGGTGAGGCCTGCCCCGAGCTTCCCCATTTGGCTACCTGATCCCAACCCCCCAACCCCACCCTATCCTCAGACCGAGCTTCTGTCCACAGGCGAGAGAGCATGGACACTGAGATGCACCATCCCTCTGGCCCAGAGCTCAGCACATCCAGCTCGCCAGGGGGAAGCACAGACTCCCTGAACCACGGTGAGCTGGGGGGCCAGGCACCCTGGCTGTGTGGCACCCACATGGGGTCACCACCAACCTGTCTTCTCTAGCAGGTGCTTCTCCTGGGGGATTGCTAGACCCCACCTGCCAGAAAACAGATCACTTCCTGTCCTGCTACCCCTGGTTCCACGGCCCCATCTCCAGGGTGAAGGCAGCCCAGCTGGTGCAGCTGCAGGGCCCTGACGCCCACGGCCTGTTCCTGGTGCGGCAGAGCGAGTCCCGGCGCGGGGAGTACGTGCTCACCTTCAACTTCCAGGGGAGAGCTAAGGTATGGGCAGGGCGGTGGGGCTGCGCTGCCACTCCCCTGGAGCTCGGCCCCCGGGGAAAGTGCACTACCTTCGCCTTCTGCAGCACCTGCGCCTGTCGCTGACCGAGCGGGGCCAGTGCCGAGTGCAGCACCTGCACTTCCCCTCAGTTGTGGACATGCTGCACCACTTCCAGTGCTCGCCCATCCCGCTCGAGTGCGGGGCTGCCTGCGACGTCCGGCTCTCCAGCTACGTGGTTGTCTCCCAGCCACCAGGTGTGACACCGAGGCCTTTTGCTAACAGGGGTGGCTGGCACAGGGAGCCACACGGAGGGTAAAAGCTTGCTGTGGACCAAACCACAGAGACGTGGTTTCGTGTCCGCCAGCACTTGTATTGAGACTGACGTGAGGTCTCTTGGTCACTTGTCCTAGGTTCCTGCAACACTGTCCCCTTCCCTTTCTCCCTCCCTCGCTGGGACTCAGAGCTGGGCCTTGCCCACCTCAGCTCTTCTGGCTGTCCTCAAGGGGTTGGCCCCGAGGGTCTCACAGGCCGCCCGTCACCCCCAGAGCAGATCTTCCACCTGGTGCCTTCGCCTGAGGAACTGGCCAGCAGCCTGCGGCACCTGGAGCCTGAGCCCAGCAGTCGAGCCCGGGACTCAGACTATGAAATGGACTCATCCTCCCGGAGTCACCTTCGGGCCATAGACAACCAGTACACACCCCTCTGACGGTGGGCCCAGCCCCCAGGACGAGCAAAGATGCAAACTTGTGAATGTAATGATCTTTCCTTCCTTCCAGAGAGAGATTCAAGGGACACTCAACTGCTCTTTCCAGTTGGACGTGACCCTTCTATTAGGCCTGTTAAAAGGCCTCCTGTAAGTCTCCCCTGTCCTTGGCTTTCTCCTTGTTGTTTACAGCAGTGGTTCCTGTCTGCAGATGCCACCAGCTCTTGCCCTGGGTCCCTAATCCCAGTCCCCATCACTCTCAGAAGAGGTGGACTGAGAGCCGGAGCTGGCAGTAGAAACTCACTCTCCCTTGCTGACACTGTCACAGCTGATGACAGACTTCCTGCTGGGGGGAGGGCTGTCATCAGGAAGCTCAGAACACTAAGCCCTGGACCCTCAGGTGGTTCCCACTGGAGCATCAGTCCCGTGGCAGGAGGCCACTCCTAATCCTGCTTCTCTCGGCTGTAGGACAAAAGCTCTCGCACAAGGGCAAGCTGAAGGTCAAAAATGATTTTAAACATTTTACCTCAGATTAGTTTTTTAAAGGATTCAGGTTTCAAGACTAAACCATTGCTTACTTCATTGCACTGTTTCAACTCGTACCCATGCCTGTTCTGCAGCCAGGGGTCGCTATGCAAACCCTGCCTGTCTTGTTCACGGTCCGAGCCACCACCGCGCCTGATGGCTTTGTCCACCCTTGGGACAGTCACCTGCTGCTGAGCGGCCACTGTCCTCCCTGAACACTGAGAAGTGAAATGTGTCACCTTTTCAGGGAAATTCAGGCAATTACTGAAATAGGAGGGTGGCAAGAACAGTTCTACCCTGGTGCCTTAATAAAAAACTGGACCCCAGTTTGCAGCAGCCTTATGGAGAATGCACGTCACCGGGGAGCGGAGCAGGAAGGGGCGGGTGGGCAAAAAGAGGAGGCAGCTCCTGGGCTCTTTCTAGGGAGCTCTTGTGTGTCCCCGGCTTATTAAGTTATCCTACAAGTGGGCTTTCAGCTCCTTTTTAAGCCAAATGGAAGCTAGGACTCTGGTGCCACAGCCCAGGAAAAAGCAAGAGCCCATGGTCTGGCCTCTCTCAGCACGCGTCTCTCCCCACAGGGCCTGAAGCCAAACCTCCATCTACTTGCCTTTCAAAATGATACAATTCATGGGGGCTGGCTCCTCCCAGAACTTTCCTGTTGGGGTACAGGGACAGGGGCGGGCAGTGACAGTAGTCAGCTCTTCCTGGGCGCCAACAGCCACCAGCATCATCATGGTGCTTCTAGGGGACCGGGAGCAGAGCAGAGCGAGCTTGCATTGCTCAGAAGTGAGCGTGAACCCGTAGCCTCAAACCACCAGCACTACCTGCCTTCTCAGGGCAGGGCTTGGTCTCTCCACTTACTGTCTTTATGCCAAGAGGTCAGGGTTCTGCTTCTACAACTTGCTGATCTTTAGAGGGCTCTAGGCCAGGTGTGGTGCCACAAACCTGTAATCCCAGCACTCGGGAGGCTGAGGCAGGAGGATTTCGTCTGAGCTACATAGTGAGTTCAAGGCCAGACTGAACTACCTAGCTGAGGAGACCCTGTCTCAAGAAACCAAGAGAAAAAATAGGGCTTTAGAGCCGCTTTCTGTGCCACTCCAAAGACACTCCAGTGTTCTTATGAACCATACAGCACACCCAACACTGGTCCAGGTTTGCGTCCAGGTCTGAGGGCACCTGTCTGTCTTCTACAAGCAGGTTTCTCTAGAATACAAATGTTAGTAAGTGTGGCCGGGCATGGTGGCGCTCACCTGTAACCCCCGCACTTGGGAGTGTAGGCAAGAGGATCACCATGAGTTCAAGGTCAGCCTGGGCTACATAGTGTGACTGTCTCAAAAGAAAGAACCAAGTCAGTCAGCAATGCTCTGGATTGTTTTGAAAGACAAAAGTCACCAAGAAGGCAACCCTGATGAGTGAGCTGTCTGCTCTCTCCTGTCTGCATAGGAAGTGGTGGAGCGAGTTCCCTTGTTCCAGCCAGTTTAACCCTCTTCCAGCTCCGGCAGTGCCAGAGCTGTGCGGGCCCTGCACACACAGGGGCTCCAACTCAGTTCACTGTGACAGTGAATGCAAGTCACCTACCCGATGGCTTCCTAATATGTCTCATTCTGACAAACACCTAATGGCCCTGGGACTAAGTGACACTATGCCAATGCCTCTTCCTTCCCCTGGAGCAGGTGACCGCTGGACGCTCTCACTGTTGCGCCTGGCCCACCTTGGGCGCAGCACATCCCACGCCCCTCCCACCAGGCCTGATGTGAGCACCACTGGCAGCTGAGGCCAAGCCAGCAGCTTCCACCAGAGCAAGGGTGAGCGCCAGCCTGGACGGTGAAGCAGCGTCAGGGTCCCTCCTGCTCACAAGTCACAGCTCCCAGCACCATCACTTCCTTCTCGCCTGACTACTGAACTTCACCAACTAACAGTCACCAGCACCAAAGAATTAAGTCAACTAACCTGCCTTGAATTTTAGACCAGCAATCCAAATGGCTTTATCTGGTATAAATCTTCTGCCTTTGATCACTTCTGGACCGTGTAGGAAAAAGGAATAGCAGTCATTAAAATCCTGGGCCAGAGAACACTATTTGTACCTAACAAGTTTCTTAACCTTACTCAAGGCCTTAAACTTTTCCCTGAGGGCTGCCTGAGATTCCTTCCTGCTTTTTATTCAGGGCCATCTTGCAGAAGATGTGTCCGCACTAACACCTTGACAGTAGATCACCCACTGTCTCTTAACAAGGACACACCTGATGTCCAGGGGCTGAAGGATCAGCACAGTGTGGTAACGCAATAGAAGATTCATCTTGTATCACTTTAGGCAGAAAGTATTTGGCAAATTCTTATGTATTGTTTATGTACTGTATAAGTAACTTATTATTGAATAATGCAAATTTTGCTATAATGTACAAATGGCTATATGTGAATTAAAATAAGTTTTCAGAATCTTGATTTGTTGCCACCAATGTATGAAGGCTGTATTAAGCCCATGTTCTCTCCTTACCCTGCTTAACTACTTGTTTTTCCTCTGTCTTCAGACTGGGGGTATTAAATACTTAGGAGTCTGTATGTATTAGTAAACTGCTTCATATATCTGTATCTTATCTTTCAGCCTTACTATGGTCTGGATCTCTCTGTGTCTCTGTGTCAGGCTGGCCTGGAACTCACAATCCTCCTGCCTCAGCCTCCCCAGTGAAGGGATTACAGCCCTCTGGATTTTTAAATTGCAGTTTTTTTGGTACCGGGGAGTGAACTTGGGACCTTGTGCTTGCGAGGCAGGTGGCGGAACAACTGAGCTAAATCCCCGGCCCCTAAATTGCAGTTTTTAATAAAATAAAGTATCTCCTGCCCCTACTGGTAAAATAGCTGAATTTGGACAACTGCAGATCTACAGCAAGTGCTTGTGTTCTGAAGACAGGAAATGGGAGCTTACAGAATCCATGCTGTGTGGGCACTGCCCTTCAGCGCTGCCCAGTGGTGGCCAGCCTTCCTCCTCCTGATGTCGACCACTAATCCAGCAAGGAATAGCACAGTCTTGTCTTTCTCTAGAGACAGCTTGGGCCAGAACTAAAGGTGAAGAAGAAAGATCATTTGACAACTACCGTACAGAAGCAGCATACATAGCCCACCTGCCGTACAGCCTCCTACAGCACAGGCAGCTTACACAAACACACATTAACTTATCAGTTTTTAAAACTTTTTTTATTTTTTAATTTTTTTAAAGTTTTTATTTTATATTATCTACAAAGTAAAAGTTTTTTCCCTTAACTTAAAAGTTGAACCACTGTAGACAGTGATCACCTCATCAAACCTGATTTATAAATAATGATCCATCAGTTTGACGGTAAGAATTTACTGAACCTTTGTCAAGTTTAGTAAAAGGGTGTTCTAAGTCTTGATTTTTTTTCTTTTTTTTTTTTTTAGCGGTAATAGCAGCAAGAATCACTCTTGTTACTTCTTTTGCTAGCTGATGTGTTCATGACTTTCAAGGACCATTAAAAAATAAATAACTTCCAGTTTCGGCAAGCAGAGCTGGGGTACCTGCGGGACTTTGAAACAGCACATGGAATTATGGAACAGCCCACAAGGCCCTAAATGCCTCTACTCGGTCCAGATATCTTCCACTGCAAGTGAACTGTTAGCATTCCTACTGAATGTTACAAGAAATCAACGTATATTTTTAAAAAACAAAATAAATGAAATTCTAGTTTTCTGTGCTTCCAGTTGGTAGAAGCAGTAGAAGGGAGGAGGGAATTTGGCCTTTCGGTTCCTCCAGGGCAGCCTTACAACTGCTGTTGGTGGTGGGCTTGTACTGTAAAAAAGAAAAGTGCACATTTAAACAGAACACTGGCAATACTGCACATTAGCCTAGTGTCTCTGTAGCACAGACTGCGGACTACCCTTGTGCTAGCTGAACAAGACTTGAAATTCAATTCATTTCCTCCCTCCCATCTGCACCAAGGTGGAGAAGGATGGGGAGGTGGGAGGGTAGAAACAAACCAGTCAGACGTAGAACTTGTTCAGATAAAACTCCCACAAGACTTGTTGATCCGGGGGAGGAGAAAAGGCCCTAACATACCCCCTCCCCAAATAGTAGCCGAGCACCAGCATTGCTCTCAGAGCCACAGGTGAGACTGCAGTACCGCCATGCAGCCATCCAGTACTGGAGCACCATCAGGGCGTAGGCTGGGGCTGACACTACACTCAAACCAGTCCACACACAGCACTTGCTCATCAGTACCTTCTCCAAGCTACAATCGAACTGCCATGGCCATAACCCCCCGCGTGTCAGCCTGTGGGGACTCAGGAAGGAACACACTGCCCTGCCCAGCCTGTCATAACAAGGAAGGCCAACTGAGCCCTAGGCATGCACCAGCGACCCGAATGCGGCGGCTGCTGCTGCTCATCAAGCCACATCCTGCATACCATCAGAACACACACAGACCGGCTCCCAGAAGCCTCAGGCCCTGACACTGACTGATCATCGAAGTCCCTCCTGGGCACTCCTGGATGGGTCTTGCTATTCTCGAGCGCGGGGCTTGCAGTGTTGGCCCTGCCTGCCATTCGACCTGTGCGAGCAGAATGCTTGGGGTGCCCCGGCGGCCCCTGCACACACACGCCTCACCTGAAGGGTGCGTCATATAGGGGAAATGCGCTGTTGTCGAGACTGGAATGGGCTGTAGTGCACTTTGAGCGAGGGCGGCCTGGGGACCGCCGGGTGGCTGTGTCGTCATTAGCATCATTGGCGCATGGGCAGTTGGATGAGAAGGAACCATTCCTGACTGTACATGAGCCTGAAACAGAGAGCTCTTTTACGCATACAGGCAACATCTCCAGCTTAAACAACAAATTAACTGTTCCTTTCGCTAGCCTGGGACCCTCAGAAAGGGCAAGGCTGGGCCTCGGGCCCCTCTTTTTTCTCTGGGGACATTCCCTGGTTCACCTTTTTGGTGGCTGCTGCAGGGCTGGGGGGCAGCCACCAAGTGAGCCTGGGTAAACATTAGGGCTACAATGTTCTAGTCGCCACCACTGCTCATCATTGAGTTCTGCATTCTGGGCAAGGTCTCAGAAAGGGCAGCCCTGATCCTGACCAGCTTTCTCAACTAGGACAAGACACAATGGTGCTTCAGAATATGGGGCTACCCTGTTGGGCCTGAAGATGTTTGACAGAGACAACCCTTTCCAATAGGAAAGCAGATCACTACAGGATAAGCAGGAACCGTCGGATGCCACTGTCCGGGGGTCATGTCTCCTTGCTTCTACTCCCCTTGCTGAGGCCTGCTCACCAGGCAGAAAGGCAAAGAAACTCAGGTTCCCTTCTTTCTCTGAAAGGTTCACTACTGCAGCAGGGATGAGGAGGCCGAAGGTGACAACTCCAGTGAGATGGGAAGAACAGTCTCAAATTATCTGACCAGCCCAGTTGTCCCTACACCAAGTGACAGCAAGTTCAAGTAGGAAAGGAGATTTTAGCCCAGACAGCAAGACCCCAGCTCAGCAAGGGGTTGGCAGGGCTAAGAAAAGCCCTCGTTTCCTGCCTCCCATACTGTGTGCTGTTCTAAGACCGTGAACTTTGAATGAAACACTCTTTTTACTCTCACATAATCAAATGGCATATGTGGACTTCTCTGTAAAAGCCTTTCTGCACAAAAACACAAGTGAGGTTTTTAGGAGGTTTTCAACTTATATTTAAGTTCACATACCTACTTAGCCACCAGCCTCGGTTAGACACCTGCAGGACCCCAGCTCTCATGAAGCTGATTCCATCAAAGCACGCTGACCCACACTGACCACACCGGCCCCCTCCCTGCTACAGAGCCACTGTAGCATACTGGACTACATACAGCACCTGACCTCCACAGGGTATAGATTCCAAACGTGCCAGCAACTGTGGACCTCCAGTAACAAGGTAGCCTAAGACAGAGCTCCAACTGAATCGAATCTCTGGCCCACACCTTGCCAGAGCCTCACGGGCGCACTACTTGACAGGAAATGGAGGTGAGTGAGGTGGGTCTTGCTTAGACCCACTTGAGAGCTCTGGTATGAAAGTAGCAGAGACAGCTAATACAGCCAGTTCACCCTGAACAGATAGCTCCGCGGATGGCCTTGAGACAGCACCAGAGCCCAACTCAGTGCCATTTTCCTCAGGACAAGCCAACGCCCCTGGCCTGCATAGGACCTCCATCAGCAGCTGAGGCAGACAGCACCACACCTTTCCACCTTCACAGGCTCACCGTGGAGGATCTCCAGAGATCTCCAGGGCCGCACCTTAAGAACAGGACACCTGGGTGTGTCCAGCTTCTAGCTACACTGGATCAAATACAAGGCCCGGCCCTCCAAGAACCACAACACATGACTAAAGCAGATGGGGGATGACCAGGGAAAACAGCTGGACAGACTGCCCTGGTACTCATGGGACTGACATTCAGGCTGCCAGGCCTGGTGCAGTCATCTCAGGGAGCGGAGACTGATGGCCTCTATCCCTGCCAGGCTTCCGTGTACATGTGGAGGGGATATCTATATATATAGAGATATATATATAGATATCTAGATATCTATATATATATATATATATATGGTGACATATATATAGGAAGAAAACTATAGACGGAGCAAAGCAGACACAAAAAGGAAAGGACTGGGGTGCATTCCAGAGTCAAAGATGTTTTTAAGGTCTCAGCTGGAAAACGTTAAAGGACTGACTGATAAGCAACTTCACTGATCCCCTTACAAAACCACACCAACATTTACTGAGGGCCAGATCACAGGTGTACTGAGCGGGGAAGGGAGACAGGCAATGGCATCACACATGGGGGTCCTGGCCTGGAGAGCGGCTGGCTCTTCGCTGCTTATGACAACCATCACGTCCTACTCACTAGAGTAGGTGGCTACCCTGATTACCTGAGGTACATGGGCCATGTGGGGCGGGTTGGTATATGCTGGCTGGACATGAGAAGGATGAATTGTGAAGACGGTCTGTTGTGCTGCTGGGAAACTATTCTGTGGCGACTGCGTATTGGAGGCAGGTGTCATGGAAGGTGGGGTTGGCGCAAGCCCCGCGTGGTAAATGGCTGACTGCTGCTGTGGACTGGCCAGATGGAGAGCCTGGGCGGCCTGGTGCTGATGGTGCTGCAAAGCATCGGGAAGATTTGAGAGAGAGACTTCTTTTATAAGTTCCCATCCAAGCAGAGATAAAACAAGACCATGGACCCAGGGAATTGACAAATGTCCAAAAAACAAACATAAAAACCCTAACTGCTTCCTGAACCAACATGACTACAGACGTTATTAAAAAACAAACAAAACCCTCATTACATAAACTTTAGGAATGAAATGTTTTTTGGGGGGTACTGGAGATCGAACTCAGAACCTTGTGCTTACAAGGCAGGCGTGGCACCACTGAGCTAAATCCCTGGCAAGAATGAAATTTTTTTTTTGGTACCGGGGATTGAACTCAGGTCCTTGCATTTGCGCAGCAGGCGGAGAAACCACTGAGCTAAATCCCCAGCCAAGAATGAAATTTTTTTTTTTTTTTTGGCAAGAATGAAATTTTTAAAGTCCCAAGCAAGTAAGAATTTGCTTCATCTTAAATCATGAATTTTACATTAAATTTGGTTTTTTCAGCCAGGCACGGTGGTGCATGCCTATAATCCCAGCACTCAGAGAAGCTGAGGCAGGAGGAGAATCCTAACTTCAAGGCCAGTTTTGGTAATTCAGTGACACAGCAAGATAAAAAGGGCTGGGGATAAAGCTGGGTGGCTACTGGGCCCCAGTAGCACCCCTCCAGAGCTTTCAATTAATAGGTTTCCCGAGCTTATCCAATCCCCTCATTATCAATTATGGATCTTTTTAAAACATTTTATTTGTTGCAGTACTAAGGACTGAGCTCATGGACCCTCTGCCACTGACCTACATCCTTAGCCCTTTTTATGTTGAGACAGGGTCTTGCTAAGTTGCCTGGGCTGGTCTCAAACTTGTGATCTTCCTGCTTCAGACTTCTGAGTAGCTGGGATTACAGGTGTGGAGCACCACACCCAGCCTTACTGTGATTTTTAAAAACCTCTACTCCTACCCTAGAGCAGCACAGCTGTGTGGGGTGCCTGGCACTGAGCTCCTCCTTACCTGAACAGGACTGGGTGCAGGATGACTTCCACCATGCTGGCTCTGCTGCTGTCCAGTGGGGGTGGCTGAAGGCTGAGGATGTGGAGTATGTGGGTGCAGGGTTGCATTAGGGTGTGCGTACTGCTGCGCGAGGGAGCCCGTGGAAACTGAAGTAAAAGGAAAAGCAGCGTGTACAACTGACATGTGGAGGACCAGCATAGCTCCTCTACCCCTCAGCAGCTGGGCTTTCTTGAAGGCTGCAATCTCGGACACATGCCACTACCAACCTCTGTAACTATTTACACCATCATGGTCGTAAATGTAATGTTACTGCCTAACAATCAGACTAGCATTTGATTTGTATAATACAGCTCTATGTGTTACATTAAAATCTAGTTTGAATTTACTCCTGGACACTAGTCAGAAACAGTTCAAACAATGGCACTCCTGTGCACAAAGGTGCACTTTCTTCTCCATGCCCAGCAGCCCTGTCCTCCCTCCCCAAGGCCATTCCCTGGCTAGCCTCACCATGCTACTGCCCTGGAGAGGGCACACTGTCCCAGGGGCACGCTCTGGCCTGGAGCTGAGAGAGGGACTGTGTCAGGAACATGACACGGTCAGGGCTCTCACCGAGGGCCAAATGACCATCATCTCTGTAATCACAGAAGCCACTCTGCCATGTAGTTTGTTCCCTGGGGTCCTAATAAAGATTTCTCACCTTTGTTTTTTAAAAAATGTAGAAGCTGAAATTGCCTAAATTATGTAGGAAAATGAACTCACCTCAAAGAACTTCAACCCCTTTAAAAGAAACTTCAAAGGAAGTATGACGGGCCCATTTAAGATAAAATGTGATCATTAAAGATAGGAACCCAGAGCCAATTCTTTACTCTCAGCCTGGGTCATACAGGTACACAGTCATTTGTCCACATCTTCCTCAAACAGCAATTAGAGAATCAATGAGGGGGTCCCGCTGCTCAGTGACTCTAGAGAGCACATGGCAACATATTTAACCTCGCAGTGGCGGTGAGCAGACAATAGAGCGCTCCAACAGAGCCACAGCTCCAACAGCGATTCTCAGCTCTCTTTCAAGAAATGAATCCTGCAATCCTTTAGAAGCTAAGCCCACACACAGGAATGATACCCAAAGTGGTTCCTCACGCACTTCACATAATGCGTTAGCAAACACAGACAGGTGAGAAGCAAGCACACATAGGACCAGGCATCCACAGCTGCCGAGGCACCATCATGGATGACTGCTATGGCCCACAGCGATGGGATGCGGGGGTTAGGTGCACAAAGCAGTCCTGCAATGCCTGATGCTGCAGGGCTGAGAGCCACCACAGCTCCAGCCCAACATTTTATCTCAGCTCCAAATGTATCGCTTAGAAGAGGGAAGGACAAGGCAAAGTGTCAGTGCTAGGATCACCTGTGCATCCACTGCCAACCCCACAGCTGGCATTTCTATTCTTTACTGGGCATTTAGAACAAGGAAGTTCTGTCTGCACACTAGAAAAGATTTCCGGACTGTCAGAGTAACACACATTGGAACATTTTAAGAAAACTGTAGCAACCTATCTCTGAACCTTTTTAAGAGTCACAACTGTCTGTGCTAACTGCCCTCCTGAGCATCACGCAGTCTCATGCGTCTGTGAAGTGGCCTCTTCTCCTTCACACTTATTCCGCTTACCTTTAGTTCCCCCAAATTGTTTGGACACTGACTTGGTCTAAAAGACTTGACATAAATTTTGAATCTGACTTTATCATTCTTGTAAAAATCCTAATACATTTTAAAATTAAAAAATTTTTATTCTGGGGAAATTTGGCTACTAGATTGGACAGCAGAGTTTCACAGCATATTTCCATTATCACAAAAAGTTCTGCTGGATAGTGATGTCTAATTATTTATAGTTATGTTTAAACTGCTAACATTAAAATTACACCCACTAGTTTGTCTGTTTTTTAAGACAGAGTTTCACAGTATAGTTCAGGCTGGCCTAGAACTCACAGTGATCCTCCTGCCCCAGCCTCCCAAGGGCTAGGATTACAGATGTGCAGTACCATGCCTGGGTCCTTAGCTTCTTAAATGTTTCATTTGTATCAATACTAAATCTGTCTGAAGGAAAGCAACTCCAAAATTCCATTTGTGGGTTTTCATAAAGTATAGAATTTCAAATATTTAAATGTTTAAACTATAGTCAGGAAGTTTTGTACTGGAATTTTTTAAACTTCACTTTTCTTTCTAAGAAAGGTATTAAGAATATTACAAAGTAACAAATTTAAAAATAGGGCTAGAGACAGCTCAGTGATAAGAGTGCTTGCCTAGTATGCTTGTAGTCCTGGGTATAATCTCCAGCACTGCAAAACAATAAACTCAATCTGAGTGCTGTATTATTTTGTGCATAAATACACGGTCATTGCAGAAAATGATTGTGCCCATGAAGTCTCACAATTAAAGTATTCATCAATTGAAAAAAATGTAAGAATGCTCAAATTATGTGAAAGAAAATTAAAGACAGAATATTTTGCTATGAATTTTTAAACTTTTGTGTTGCTGGGGGCCTCACTTATGCTGAGACATGCTCTATCCCTTAGCTACACCCCTAGCTCATGTATTTCTTAGAGTTTATTTTTCTCTGGTACCGGGGATTGAACTCAGGCCCTTGTGCTTGCGAGGCAGGCACGGCACCACTGAGCTAAATCCCCAGCCCAGCTCATGTATTTCTTAGAGATAGGGTCTTACTAGATTGCCCAGGGTAGCCCCAAACCTTGGGGCTCAAACAATCCTCCTGCCTCAGCCTCCCAAGTAGCTGGGACTATATGCCCGGCACCACCACACCTGGCTTCTGCTACACATTTTTAAAAAAATGCATCTGTGATATAAGTTTATCAACGTTCTAAGACTACAGAGTGTTCTGAACTTTAGCTAATTTGCACACAACGCAAAAATACTGAAAGGAACCAAGCTTGACAAATGTACATGGGCTTTAAAATGAAGGGCAACCCACTTTTGGGTCCCCTCCTGTCTCTCAAGAGCTCTCTCTCTCTCTCAGTAATTTTTTCTACTCTGAAAAAAAAGGAAACAAACAAAAGAAACAAAACTCATCTTCTCCCTACCTAAATACCAGTAAACTACAAGGTATTAAAAAAAAAGAGAGAGAGAAAATAAGGAGATGTAATATATACATCATAAACTGCAAATAAAATTTTAAGGAGGCTTAGAAATATTTTTCTTCATATTCTAACATAAAATATCTTAAAGCAAGTACCACACCAAGGAACTCTTTTCTGCTTGAATAGAAAAATGAGTGGGGCCGGGGATTTAGCTTAGTGGTTTCGCTGCCTGCTGCGCAAGTGCAAAGTCCCGAGTTTGATCCCTGGTACCAAAAAAAAAGAAAAATGAGTGGGGAAAATGTGAAACTTATACTTTAATTCAATATTTTGAACAAAAATATAGTTTGGTTCCTTGAAAGGGCAGTTAAAACTGATACAAAGGAGTAGGAAGAAATTAAAAGGACAACGAAAAAATATCTGAAAGAGAATAGAGACACAGAAAAAGAACCAAGACAAAGTAAACAAGGAAGTACAGCAAAAACGTGGAAAGAGAAATGAGAGAACAGGGTTGTAGGTAAATTTATTTAACTGCTCCCCTCCCCCACCCCCAGAGTCTTGCTATGTAGTTCACCTATCCTTAAACTCACTACGTATCCCAGGGTAGCTCTGAACTCATGGCAATCCTCCTACTTTCAGCCTCCCGAGTCCTGGGATTACAGGTGTGGGGCACCATGCCCAGCCTTAACTGCTTGTTAAACCTGCTAATTTTAACTAAAGATTCAAGGGAGGTTAAAAATAAAGTGAGTTTTCTTTGAAATTCTGAGGTAGCTGCTTACCATTTAAACGTCTATAAAATTTAGCTAGCTTTCATGTAATCTTCTGAAATAGGTCAATATAATACAGTAGTAATGGCCAGGAGTGGTAGCCCAAGCCTATAGTTCCAGCACTTGGGAGGCTGAGGCAGGAGGATCACAGTGAGTTCAAGGGCAGCCTGAACGGCAAGGTGAGACCCCGTCTCAAAAAAAAAAAAAAAAAAAAATATTGCTCTGGGCCAGACTTGGTCCAGAAGCTTGCCACTCAACATGTTCCTTGGCGTAAATATTTAAAATTCTAAACATTACCATCAGTCAAATCCTTATAACAAATACATTCTAAAAATAGTTTCCTAAGCCATGACCTTAAGTGAAGAAACCTGTAACTTGGTTTTGCCATTTTGACCTTGGATGCACAAAGTAACAAGAGATCACCAGCACTGCAAAAGTTTAAAAATGAAACAAAACAAAATCTTTCAACTTTTAGTTCTGAAAAGTAGATGTGAACAAAAGCTGAAAACTCTGGAAGGAGAAAAAGGGCAACTTGATCAAACTATGACAAAATGGCTTAGAGAGAAAGTAAAGCAGCAAATTAAATTACAAATAGCAGCCCGTTAGTTTCTTTTAGCAGATACAGATATTCCCTCCAGGGGAAGCCGTGCTTAGGTGTGATGATTAGGGCCATTTAGCTACTTACCAGGAAAACGCTCCATAACTACTAACAGAGACAGTAAGATGGTGAGGACAACTACATTTGAGACCTCAAACTGCACACATCATAAAGTTAACCACTGACACTGTCTTTTACACACTATAGTCACAGACACACTTTCCTTTTATAGTATATACATACAGCAAGACTCCTTTTTAAAGAGCATCTATTAAAGGATTAAATTATTTAAAATTTCCTAGCACCATGTAAATGAATACCTATTAACTTATTTTTGGATACCAAGTCATGGGACAATAAACAACAATTTAAGGTTAAAATGCTTCTAAATGCTAAATCTAGCATTTAGTAGAGCCAGATGATGAATCATTTGAAGAGTTTCCAAAATTTATTACCTGACAGAAGAATGTTAATCCTTAATATCTTCTAGAATACAGTATCTCACACAAAGTGACACATATAAAACTGCATAACTCGGTAATGGATTTTTACTAATTAGCACCCTCCCTATCCAAATGCCCAAGTCCATGACCTGCTTTATTTTAAGAATTGCCCTATAAACAACCCATCTTACAAGTTCACTTCTCAAACAAAGCCTTGCCAAGACTTTCTCCATTTAGGAGCGACCAGTCCCTTTTCAATGTGTCCAGAAGAGCTGTGTGCTGCCAGAGGCAGTCTCTGGACGTAGTATTTTCCTGTTGAATGAAGCTCACATCCTGAATGTATCCGATATCTTAGTATTACAAACTTTTTTTTTCTGTAGTAATGGAGACTGAACACAGGGCCTCATCCAGGCTGGTTAAGTGTTCTCACACTGAACTACATCCCCAGGCCTTTGGTTTTATTTTGAGGAAGGGTGTCACTAAGCATTAAGACAGGCTGGCCTGGAACTCGTAATTCCCCTGCCTCATTCTCCCTAGTAGCTGAGATTTCAGCCACATGCGGCTTACTTTAAACCTTTAGTCAGACAAAGACTGAAAAGACAAGTGTTTCTCCCCTATCTCATCAACTCTACCTCTATTAAAAATCCTAGTGAGGACACAGATTTTTTTCTTTTACTAAGAAAACTAATGTGTCAAGTTCTACACATCTAACTTTATAGCTTGGTATAAAAATTATTAGCTATTCAGGAAAAGTTTCCCTGAATAAGGAAAGTATCAGGCATTTCCCAAATAGTTATGTGTTTGCTTGGTATGCAAAAATTAATTTCTGAAACAATTTTTTAACTCCAGCTTTCTTAAGCTGGGTCATATGTCCTTTTTCAAAACTGAATTATTTATAGATATACATTCTTTGAATGATTTTGTCTGGCACAAGGAAAATATTGTTCAACAAGTCTGCTCCCTTAACATGTATTCTTTAAAAAGTGTTTTACTGTACAATAAAATTAGTATAAAAAACCCAACTCACTGGCAAAGTAGAAAGAAGGGCTTGTCTCCTTGTTGTATGGTAATTTGGGACATGCTGAATTTGGGAAATAGAAAGGTAAATTAGCCTTGTGAAGTGTGCATTTTCCTAATTTTCTGGAAAGGTCAACATATTTAATAATCTTTTTGTATTCATGCATAATCCATTTTTATTTTATAAGAGATGACAAGCACTTTCAATACTGCTACAGAATTTAAAAAGGACTGAACCAGAAGACACTTTTCTTCTGTACTGAAGTGTCAAGTTCTGCAGGCTGATTTGCTTAAATGAAAGGAATAAATTCATTACCTGATAAAAAGACCGACATGACATTCCACTGAACAACATTGATATAAGTAATGTACCCAAATAAAGCAATATTTAGCAAATTCAAGTAACACATGATTTTGCAGAACAGAAATGTCCATTACAGGCATCTGGTAGCAGATCCAAAAGTTCTAATAATATAAACATGAGGGCTGGGGATTTAGCTCAGCAGCCCCGCCGTCTGCCTCACAAGCGCAAGGTTCTGAGTTCGATCCCTGGTACCAGGAAACAAACAAACAAAAACCAAACCAAAAAAACATGAGTATGCTATCTATAGAGGTGCTGCTGTGTATTTGTGTATGTGCCCCAGGAAGGACACATCCGACACTACCTGATGGCCGTCAGGTGTGTGTGTGGGGTGGCTAATGTTGCTTTGTATTTCTTTTTTGCTTATGGTATTTTTTTTAACTTATCTGCATCGAACTACTAAAAAACAAACCAAAAAAGGATTCTGGATCTAACTCTTCCAGATGACTCTAGTTAAAAAAAAAAAAAAGTTTTATAGGTACTGTTTCTGAAAGTTGAAATCATCACAAATTAGATGAATTAGCACACTAGATGCGAGGAACAGGAGGGTAGAGGAAATGATGAAAGTTAGGCTACAGTCAAAGGAGATGAGGTTTGTAGTAAATGTCCTTTCTAAACTGGTTATACAGATTACAAGCTCAACAATAATTTCAAATGTATGCATCTCTTATTCTGTCAATTTAAATGTTCTGTAACCTCTTATATAAAATTTTTTTTTAAAATCATTTTGCAGGGCCAGGGATTTAGCTCAGTGGTTTTGCTCCCTGCTGTGCAGGCGCAAGGACCCGAGTTCAATCCCGGTACCAAAAAAACAACAACAAAAAATCATTTTGCAGTCCTTTATATTTTCAAAGACTTTTGATTTGACGATAAGCATTAATGACTGACAAAAAAGGTAACAAAGTTATCACCAACCTCTGGGTACATAGCCTTATTTTGCATTGAAAAGAATTTAAAAATCTACATAAGATGTAGCTTAAAAATAAAGTATTTGATTCTTTTGGGAATATAAAATATACATTGTTCAAGAGAAATGAATATAAAATTGGCGTTTCCATTCAACAGTTTTGTCTTATTTTTTTTGTCTTGTAAGAATGTACATAAAATCTTCTGTTTAAATTTGACATAGTAGGGCCGGGGATTTAGCTAGTGGTTTCGCTGCCCGCTGCGCAAGGGCAAGGACCTGAGTTTGATCCCCGGTACCAAACAAAACAAAACAAAAAAACAATAATTTGGCATAATAAAGCTTTAAAAGGTCTAATATAATTCAAATTAATTACTGACAAGTAATGAAGAATTTGTTTTAGCAGATTAAATTATGACTTATAATGGCATAGAACAAAATACAGTAAACCTTGGATTTCAAGTCCATGTTTTGAGAATGTCCTGCAAGACAAGCAAACATTTCTAATGAATTTAAACTTGATAAACAAGCGATGTCTTGCAATGCAAATAGTACGTGATGTCAAATGTCACAAGATCATAGCTGAGCCAGTGGTTTCCCCCCACCCCCGAGGGACTGAGGAGGTGTCTGCAGAGGGGGAGGAAAAACGGGTGGACGAATCACTCACTTCAAATGAGATTAGAGAGACATGTAAAATGTGGGAAAATGCAAAATTGTATAAAAAAGTACCAACCAAATAAGGCAGTAGCAGTACAAGCGATGAATCTGTTTAATGACAATGCAATGTCACATTTCTGCAAAATCCTCAAAAGGAGGCAAAAGCAAATGTTGTTGGATAGGTTCCTTGTTAAAACTGTGCAAAAAGAAAGATTCCATTGAGCCAACAGACAGCAGTGATTCTGTGAGAGTCAAAGCCGACTCATACAATAACGTTCCTCTCTTGCCTCTCTCTCTAGCCACAAAAGGTTTTCAAAGTAAGTGTGGGTTAATTTGTTTTTTCTTTATAATTTTATATTACAGTATTGTAATCATTTTATCTGAATATTTTTGAGGTGCAGAACAAATCATCTGTTTCCATTATTATTATTATTATTTTTTTTTTGGTACCAGGGATTGAACTCAGGTCCTTGTGCTTGTGGGGCAGGCGGTGGAACCACTGAGCTTAATTCCCGGCCCTCCATTATTTTTAATGGGGAAATTTGCTTTCATGTACAAGTGCTTTGGATTACAAGCCTGTTTCCGGAATGAATTATGCTCACAGAGCAAGGTTTTACTGTAACTCATGTCCTAGTGTACTTTTTAAGATCTGAAATACTCAAAAGATAATCTTGACCAACCAGCAATGATCGTACCAAGTCCACAGTTTTACCCCTCGTATGACCCCACAAAAGAGCAATTAAATACAACTTGTGTAAATTACAGAATAACTCTGATTTTGTTGATGAACTTTCTCCTGGCATGACAGAACTGGCTGATCAGTTCATTCCAATCAGCCCCCAAGTTACCACCAGTGTTTTCTTTGCCCCATTTCCTATTTGTTCACTCCTGAATGGACTTCAGGGTACCAGGCCAAATGCTTTTCAGATGAAAATGTTTAGGGATCACAGTTACAAAAATCACGAGTGCCTCAAATACAGCATTTACTATGCAGATTGTTTCAAACGAATGGCCCTTCACCCAGAGACAAAGCCACACAATTGGCAGTGAGCGTGCACACTGAGGAGCAGGATTCTGTGCAACATCACAGCACTACTACAGTGGCTCAAAAGCACAGTAAACAAATGGCTCTAGAAGCAATGGAGATTCAGCTCAAAAGCTTTCTTATTCCAAGGCGTGTGTCAGAAAAAAGGAAAAAAACATTTTTTCCCACTTGTTAAAAAATGTTGTATTCACCAGAAATATATTAACAATCATAATGAGCTTTTCACCGAAGCTTTCAGCAAACTGGAAACTGCTGAAATGTGTATCAGTGGCATGAAAGCCAGTGTGAGGACTCAACTCTGCCTTTTCACATATGTACTTGGTCCTGGTTAAGACAACTAACACAAGCTGAACGACAGACTGTAACTCAAATAATAAACCAAATCAGTCTCTGTCACTGTATTTTTTTTTTTGTACCAGGGATCAAACTCGGGTCCTTGCACTTGTGAGGCAGGCAGCGGAACCACTGAGCTAAATCCTTAGCCTGTCACTGTATTTTTAAATCAAATTAGCAATGAGCTTCTTGAAAGAAATGTTTTCTAAAATATGGCAAATATACTTTTAAATTTAAAATGTCTAATTTATAATAAAAGGCTTTAAGATCAAACCTCAGCATTTTATAAAAGTAAATGCCTTTATTCTACATTAAAAAAAATTTTTTTTGGTTTTTTTTTTGATACAGGGTCTCATTAACTAGTTCAGGGTGGCCTTGAACTTTGCAGAGACCCTCCTGCCTCAGCCATCCCCAATGCTGGAATTACAGATGTGAGCTTCCATGCCCACTCTCCCACACAAGTTTTAAAAATGTAAAAAATACTACATTCTCAGTCATTCAAAAAGTTAAAAGAGGTTTTAAAAATAACCTCATGTAGCTGCATGTAATTATAATTTTTTTGTTTGTTTGTTTGTTTCTGTACCGGGGATCAACTCAGGACCTCACACTGGCGAGGCAGGCGGCAGAACCACTGAGCTAAATCCCTGGTCCTATAATTTCATTCTCATAGTAGTACCTTTTTTTTTTTTTTTTGGTACCAGAGATCAAACTCAGGACCTTGCACTTGCTAGTCAGGCAGTGGAACCACTGAGCTACATCCCTGGTCTTTTTTTGAGATAGGGTCTCACTATGCAGTTCAGGCTGGCCTTGAACTATGTAGCCCAGGCTGGCCTCAAACTTGGGGTGAGTCTCCTGCCTCAACCTTCCAAGTGCTGGGATTACAGGCGTGTGCCAACATACTTAATTAGTGGCACATTTTTAAATTGTATGAATAAACTTAAAAAAACCCCTGAAATACCAATGGGAAAACAAATGACAAAACAGCAATTCTTAGAAAAATTAAGAACAAAACTAACATCTTAAACTGGTAGTAATTAAGGGTGTATTTTGAAAAACATAGTATGAGGTTATCCTTTACTCCTGTAAGACATTTAAGTGGAAATTTCATTTTAAATTCTCAACACTGAAAAATGTATTATTTTAGAATTTTGGACAGATGCCAAGTTAATCTATACAAAATTCTCTGGCCACAAAAATCAAGATGAGTTTTTTTTTTTTTGGTACCGGGGATCAAACTAGGGACCTTGCACTTAGAAAGCAGGTAGCAGAACCACTGAGCTAAATCCTTGGCACAAGATGAGTTTAAAAAAATTATCCTTCTACAATAAATTAATTTTATGTAAAATACTTCTCATTTCCATTTTAGTTTTTTTTCTTTTGAGACAAAGTCTTGCTATGTAGTTCATGGTGGCCTTGAACTCACTACTGAGACCATGCTGACCTTGAACCCACAGCGATTCTCCTGCTTCAGTTTCTCAAGTGCTGGGACTACATGTGTGCATCACCATGCCTAGCCCATTGTTTATATTGATTACATATAAAGTGTGAATCATGTCTAAAACAGATCTATTCTCACACAATTCTGACTACTTACAATAAAGCATGATGCAGAAACACAGTAACATAATAGAAATAAAAAATATATAATGTCAATGACCCCAGAGCCAAGAGTGCAGCAGTATGTTTTCATGCTGGAGAACGCTGTTCAACTTCGATTCTGGTCAGCACTTTCCTGCACGTCTTAGGTATGCTATACTGATGAGGAAGAGGAAGCTGTCTTTCACCAAAAAAGATGCTTTGCTGTTACATACATCATTATATTTTAGCCAGAGGGGCCAAGTAAAGACAGAAGAAGTACAGGTACAGAAGTAGAAATTATTTGCCAAGATTTACATAGCAAGTAAGAGGCAGAAATGGGTTCATCTTTTCCTTTAGATTCTTGACCCTCAATGTCATCAAAGGACAGGTTATTCTCAAAAGTATCTTTCAGAGCTCTAAAACAAATTAAGAATAGTCAGGCACACTGGAAAAGACAGACAAAGTGCTTCCTACCATACATTGCATGCGTCTGCTCATGAGCCCCGTACTGTGTTGCTGAAGAAGACACTAACGCAGGCTGGGCGTGTGCTGGCGGCGCCATCATTCTAGCATTACCCTGTATCACAGGACTGTAGACATGAGGGTGCTGTGTTCAAACAAAAAATAAAGGAAGAATATTAAAACATCATAAAGAGCCAAGCAGATTTTAGTAAGATTGTTAACTCTGGTTTCCAGAAACAACAGACAATTCTAAGACCTTGCTTGACGGCTTCCTTTGAAACTCTTACACTGATCAGTAACCCTGACGTATGTATTTAAAGGGCTCCAAGTCCTTAGTTATCTAATCCACCGTTAACACAAAGCAAAAAATGTAGAAGAAAATCCCTTGACTATATTAAAAGTTCTTAAATGGAATAAAAATTAGGAAGCCATCTGTGTCTTACCTGAGACTGATAATGTGGCATATGTTGAACTAGTGGCTGATTCGGGAACTGCTGAGGACTATAGGCCACATACTGAGTCGAGTACGCTGGCGGGGTGGCTACGATGGGCGGGCCTGCTGCTGAGGCTGGGTGCATCATGGTGCTCTGATGATGCTGGTCTTGCCGCTGCTGAGGCATATTTGGCACTGCAGGGGAAGAGAGAGACTTACTAACCTAAAATATCAGCTCCTTAGTAACACGTATGTTAACATACTATATACACTCACATGGTACAAGACTGCATAGTTTGACCCTCCTTGCTTGCCTCTCCAACACCATCTCATTTTATGACTATTTTATTTTGTCTTAGGTACTGGGGATTGAGCCCAGGGCCATCACACTGAGCTATATCCCCATGCCCTTTTTAAAATTTTGAGACAAGGTCTTGCTAAATTGCCTGGGCTGGACTTAACCCTGCCATCCTCCTGCCTCAGCCTCCCAGAGTGCTAGGATTATAGGCGTGCCCTACAATGCTATCTTATGCCACTCCTGCCATCACTTCAGATACCATAGGGTATTTTCCTATCACACGTGCTTGTCTCATCCTCAAATACCAGTTCCCAACTCAAAGTCGGAGAGACTGTGACTCATCCTTCAGGTGTCAGCTTGAAAACCTGTTCTCAGGGAGAGCTTTTATGATGACCCTCAGACACCCACAGCACTATCAATAACTTCTGCTTCTCTCCACTTCTCAGATACCCCATTTACTTTTTATCTCTACCACAAGACCTTGGGGGTTGACAGACCTTTACTTTCTCATATATAAATTATGCCACTGCCAGGGACGAGGACTGGGTTCATTGAGAGAGAAAAAAAGGCATGACAAGAGCCTAACAGATCCAACACCAAATAATGAATCTTCAACATCTCCCTCCTTCTCAAACCCAGTATCACACAGCACCAGGCAGCAACTGGCAGGTTTGTAAATGACAGCTGTTCTGTTTTTTTTTTTGGTAGCGGGGATGGAACTCAGGTCCTTGCGCTTGTGCAGCAGGGGGAGAAACCACTGAGCTAAATCCCCGCCCATGTAAATGACAGCTCTTTAAAAACCCCTTTATGACTTGCATTATTCCACACTTTTTCCTCTCCCTGTTAAAGCTCTAGTTAAAGACCTTAGCTACTAGCATATATTTGTTTGCCATTTCTACTTCATCTGAGAAATGCCTATTCATTTCAGATGCCCATTTCTGGATTGGGTCTTTAAATTTGGGGGGGGTCCTGATTTGATTTCTTTCTATGTTTTAAACAGTAGTCCTTTATCGGAGGAAAAGCTGGCAAAAATTTTTTTCCCACATGGTGGGTTATCTCTTCATTCTGTTGGTGATTTCTTTTGCTGCGCAAAAGCTTTTTAATGAGAGCCCAGTTGTTGATTTTTCATAATACTTCCTGTGCGATCAGCGTTTCGTTCATAAAGTCTTTGCCTACACCAATGTCTTCAAGAGTTCTATCTATTCTATCTTCCAGCAGATTTAGTGTTTCTGTTTTAATATTTAGGTCTTTGATACATTTTAATTTGAGTTTAGTACATGGTGACAGATATGGGTCTAGTTTTAATCTTCAGCATGTGGAAAGCCAGTTTTCCCACTTATTAAAGACGCTATCTTTCCTCCAGTGAAGGTAAATTTACCTTAATCGGGTTTTTTTGTTGTTGTTTTTGGTACTGGGGATGAACTCAGGACCTTGTGCTCGCGAGGCAGGCGGCAGCACCACTGAGCTAAATCTCCAGCCCCCTTATCTTAATCTTAATTTATAGTTTAGATGAAATATACTTTCATCCTTTCTTGTGTCAGTGGTTCTCCCCTTGAAAAGGACATCTGGCAATGTCTGGAGACATTGTCAGTTGTTACAACTGAGGGATGGGTGATGTAACCTCTAGGATCTACTGAATAGAGGCCAAGAATGATGCTAGACATTCTACAGTTTACAGGACATGCCACCACCTTATACAAAAGAGTATCAGTAACAAATGTAAATAGTGCATGGCTAAAAAGTTGGGCTTTAAGTTGATTTAAGTCCTTGACTTTGGCATGTTTTCAATATAACCTGCCCTAAAGATAACTCTGCAGTTTACAGCAAGAGGACAAGGAGATGGTTTTATGCAAAGATCTAATTATCATGGAGAAAAAATATGCCTTATACAATCCATGGCTACATTTTAGAACCATGCCTTTTGACTGTTACCTGAAAAATACTAAAATACCTTTACTCAATATCTCAAATGATTAGAATTTAGTAAAATTAACAGGATATAAAATTGACATATAGATAGCATCAGCTTTCACATATAATACAATACTTCAAAAGTAACTACTTAGGAGGAAACAATGGCAGGGAAAAACATTGCATGAACACAGAAGAACATACTTGCAGTCTAATCTGAAGAAATGCACAACAACTTAAGGAGAAACTTTACATTTGATACAGATACTAAAAACAATAGCAATGATAACAAACACCACATCGGTCATCTTTGGAGGGGAAACCAAGTTATTACTCTGAAGATTGCCTATGAAAAGCAAAGAAGGGCCAGGGATTTAGCTCAGTGGCACCGTGTCTGCCTTGCAAGTGCAAGGTCCAAGAGTTTGATCTCTGGTACTGAAAAAAAAAAAAAGCAAAGAAGCTTTTTAGTTATCTTTCCTATACAAGTTATACCTCAGGGTAAATAAAGAGTTTGATGAAGTAAAGTTTTTATAGAAACATTCCAGCTAAGTGAAGGAAAGAGAATGTCACCATTTTGCATCCCCTAATGAAATACTGGATCTATATACTACTTTATGATCACCAATGGCAGCTGCTAAAAACTACCAGGAAAGAGCCATGGGAAATGTTAAAGACAAAGTACACCCACCATCAACTTAAAAAAATCCAATTCAGTCTCATCAAACCTCCATTATATAATAACCTGCTTACAAGGATTATAGGATACAGATGACTTTAAACACCACATAAGGATGCATTCAGCAAAACTTGTATGGTAGGAAAGAGTAAAGGACAAAAAAAGTTGGATTTAAATAAGATATGAATGGGGACAGCACTAAGGGAAAAACTGTAATTAAACTATGACTTATGAAAGAGAGAATAAAACAACTCCCAAAGATATACACTGATAGTACTTTTTTTTTAATCTTTATTTTCTGGTACCAGGGATCGAACTTGGTACCTTGCGCTTGTGAGGCAGGCGGCAGAACCACTGAGCTAAATCCCCGGCCCTACACTGAAATACTGATAGAAAAAATGATATGGTGTCCAAGATTTGTTTCAGAATAAACCAGTGAAGAGAGGGCATAAGAAACAAGGGTATGAATGAAGCATGACTGCTCAAAGTTATTAATGTCTTTAAAAACTTCATAATGAAAAGTTACTACAACATGAAACTAAAAAAAAAAAGACATGATAAATACAACTTATGAATTGTAAAAAATATATTTAATGGAGAAAAACAAAGACATTAGGAAATTATTTTTAATTTTTTGTCAATGGGATAATGGTATTGTAGATTTTTAATGATGTCATCTTTTAGAATTACAAAATTAAGCAATTTCCAGACAAAATGTTATGCCTGAGGTGTGCCCCCCCAAATAACCTGAGGACAGAGAGGAGCTATGAGTTTATGACAGGTAAAGGTGAGTGATAACTAGTTCTATCATACGTTTTTTTTGGAGACAAGAATCTTGCTGCGTAGTTCAGGCTGGTCTTAAACTCACTATGTATCCCAGGCTGGCCTTGAACTCGTGATCCTCCAGCCTCAGCCTCCTAACTTCTATTATACTATTTAAACTGCTAATTTGTATGTGCTTCAAATTTGTAAAAGAGAAGTTTTTAAAAGACAACTAATTTTTTTTAAGTAGAAATGCTAAGTATAAAGATTATATGAAAAATAAAAGTCAAGAAAACCTGAAAAATAAATAAATGATAAAATCCAGATATAGATCCAACTGCACATGAATAATCAGCATCTAATGAAATGGCCTTTGCATGTTTGTTCTTTGACTATAATGGAATTAAAAGTAAAAAGTAAACACATCTGGAAATATGAAAATATTTGGAAATTTAAAGCATACTTAAATCCACTGGTTAATGAAATTATAAGGTAAAAAATTTGCAACTGAATCAAAATATAACATCAGGTTTGTGGAATGTAAATAAGGCAATGTTTAGAAATTTGTAGCTTTAAATGGTTTCTTGCCAGGTGTGGTGGCACATGCCTGCAATCCCAGAACTTGAGAGGCTGAGGCAAGAGGATCCCCATTGAGTTCAAGGCCAGGCTGGGCTACATAGTGAGATCCTGTCTCAAAAACAAATCAAAACAAAACAAAAAGTGTGGATGCAGCTCACAGCACAGGTCCAGAGTTCAATCCCCAGTACCCACCCAGACAAACATAAAAATGAAAAGAGAAAAAAGATTCAAAAACCAAATGTATCTTTTTACACACACTGAAAAATTTAAAAACATTCTCCAGTATAAAAATTATGAAATACTAAGATAAATTTAAGAAAGTATGCATGAACTCAATACAATTAAAACGACAAAACTGATGAAATTGAAGACCTAAATAAATGGGAGTGATATATGGGATCAATATCAAGGTATTTTCCAAGACATGATCTACACATTTAATGCATGATCCCAAGATGACTAAATATCTGAAAATTCAAAGAACCTACAAAACCAAAATAAAATTTTGTTAAAAGAAAAAACCAAGGAATTTACATAAACTTTTAGATTTATTATAAAGTAGTAATAATCAAGAAAATGAATATTGGCATGATGATAGATACATGACCAATGCCAAGACCAATGCCACAAAGTAGTTCACAAATAGGGACCGCAGAGATGATAAACTGAATTCTGCCCCCCTAAAAATACAGCCTAGTACATCACTATCTTTACATCTAAAAAAAAATTCAGTCATTTTAACCTAGCTAACCTAGCTAACTGATCAAGCTGCTGATGTCACCACATAGTAAGTTCAGATGACAGCACTTTTGTAAGTACCTAGAGTACCAACTCTTCACTCTGAAAACTGGTGCTTAGAGATTTTTTTAGTAAAATAGACAGAGAGATAAGAAATACTCCAAAAAAATTTTAAATTTTACTGTGTAGTATAATTATTAGACAGTAAAAATTCTTAAAATATGTTATACATGCTGCAGGAAGATAAAAATTAGCTGGCTGGTATTCAGCTTACGCCTGGTATTCATCTCCTTCTGCTCCCCAGATATTCTGTCCGGGGCTGTTCTGTGTGACCAACAGTACCCAGCAGAAATGACAATGTGTCACAGCTGAGATGAGTTGTAAAGCACATTGCAGTTTCTGGCTAGGACTGTTTCACTATTTTCTTTTTGGATTTTTTTTTTTGGTACCGGGGATCGAACTTGGGTCCTTGTGTTTGTGGGGCACGCGGCGGAACCACTGAGCTAAATCCTTGGCCCACCCTTTTAGGATTTTTTGAGATAGAGACTCACTATTACTTCAGGCTGGCCTTGAACCCAGGCTGGCTTCAAAATTGAAGTGGTCCTCCTGTCTCAGCCTCCCGAGTGCTGGGATCACAGGCATGTACCACACCTGGCTATATTGTTTTTAACCTTTAGAATTTTGATCCATTTTGATTTTAATTTAGTATGTAATGAGATAATGGATCTAAGACTCAATCTTTTGCATGTGGATATCCGATTTTCCCAGCACCATTTTCTAGAGAGGCTATCTTTCCTCCAGTGTATCCCTGTACCTTTTTATTCCTTATTGTTGAGAGAAGGTCTTGCTAAGTTGCTAAACTGCCCTAATGTCCAGGGTGGGCTTGAACCTTCAAGACTCCTTTCTCAGCCTCCCAGACAGTATGCTAGGATTACAGGTATGCACAACCATGGTCGGTTTTGAGATTTATTTGAAATCTTCAGCAGAGAAAAAAGGACATATAAAGTAAGCATGGCAAATCTTATTAATCACAGAATCTGAATGATGGCTAAAACCAAGTATCTAATCACTTCCTACCTACTTAGCCAGCCCTGTTCATAGCTGGTACCCTTGACAGTATCGCTATTTTGTTTTAACAGAAACGCTTTTATAAGACATGCTGAACTACCCTCAGGATACATAATTTCTATGAAAATGACAGAGCCTCCTCAGGTCAGAATGCAGTTCTCACTTCAGAGAGCTATACTGGCACACTTGCTTTTACTGCACTGATCTTTTCCATTTTAACACAAGTCTCTTTTTTATTAAGTAACCACAAAAACCAGCAACAAAGCTAGGCATGGTGGCGCCCATCTGTAATTCCAGCAATCAGGAGGCTGAGGCAAGTGGCTCACCTGGAGTTCAAGGCCAGACTGGCTACACAGTGAATGAAAGGTCAGCCTGAACTACATAGCCAGACCTTATCTCAAAAACATAAAAACAAACCAAAAGAACCCACACACACCCACAAACAGCAGAAAGTATCTTGATAATGACACACTAAAAAATCCTTTTCTTCCTTGATCCCTTCAAGTCCTCACAATAAGATTAATTCCTGTAACTAAGAATTACTTTAAATGACCTAAGGTAAGAGTTTTTTTAAGGCTGGTCAATTTTCTTATCTTTTTAATGATCCAGTTTTTAAATATTTCTCTATTGTTTTAAAATTTTTATTTCATTAATTTCCACTCTAACGTTTACTTCCTTTTTTGTTTTTGCTTTTTTTTTGCAGTTCTGGGGATCAAACTCAGGACCTTGCGCTTGTGAGGTAGGTGTGGTGCCACTGAGCTAAATCCCAGGACCCCATTTCCAAATTTTTTTAAATTTTATTGGTACATTTTAGATATACATAATGATCACATTCATAATAGGGAATTTGTACCTGTACATGATGTATCTTGCTGCTTTTTTTCCCAGTTCCCTCCTCTCGCTTCAATCCCAATTTTTCGTCCTTATGTATAGAAGCTTTGTTTCCATTTTTTCCTTCTAGTCTCTGTTCTTCTTGTCCCTTCCTTTCCACTGAGAAATGTCTTTTCGATATAAGTCCTATTTTGTTTCTCAATAATAATTAATTGCTCTAAATTAACTAAATGGTAAAAAGGAATCCTTTAGCATTTCTCAACATTATAAGATTTCTTTTGTGTTTTTTTATTTATTAATTTTTTTTTTTTGGTACTGAGGATCAAACTCCGGGACCTTGCGCTTGCGCAGCAGGTGCCAGAACCACTGAGCTAAATCCCTGGCCCTCTTTTGTGTTTTTTTAAACCACAAAAGTCCAGAAAACTAGTTTATACAATGAGGAAACATTTCTCTAACAGGATTCTGACACTGTCTTTTGTTTCAAAAGAAATTCTGGATGTTAAAGAAATAATTGCACTTTAATGCAAAATAAGGTCAGTAGTCTAGTAAATTAATCTAGCAAACCTTGTTTATCAAATTTAAGTACAAATTTAAATTCAGACTTCAGACTCCAAGTTCGGAATGCAGTAAGATACTGAATCACAAGTAAGCCATTTCTCCTCCCTTTTTTTGTTCATAAAAATTCATCTAAACATTTTAGTGCTGGTCATCAAAATTCAATGTACAGCCTAATCAAAAGTTGAAGCTAAGCCATGAATATTCATTATAAATGAGAGGTTTAATTCATGCAGCATGCAGGCTACAAGTAAACACAGGCAGGATTATTCTCACCTTTACCTGCTCTATATGTCTTGGCTTGATTCACTGGCATGGGCGTCATGGGTATTGGGTATAAAGGCTTGAGGGAATTGAAAGAAAAACAAAAACCATTAGATTCTTACAATGAGAAGGTGGTCTACCACTGTCAGTTTATCTTGCTAGAGAGCTAGATCTGGGGTTTCCTCATCTCCTAGGAGTTAAAAAAATAAAATCACACCCAAGCTAAAAGGATAAACTCCAACAAACTCTAGGAACTAAATCATCTTTCTCACCAGAAAACATTCTTAGATTCAGGTCCTTATTCTAACCACAGACCAAGCCACTGCACACCTCCCTCTTTCAAGTACCTCTGCATGTGAATGTGCCTCAAATCAAGGCAAATCTAAAAAATGCTGGTGTCAAGCGGAGTAGCCGAGTGAATGTCAAATTCCATGACTTACTTGCACGCCTGGACTCACTGGGACTGGATACATCATATTTGGTGCAAAACAAACAGGCTGAGTATAAACTGGAGTCGGTGGCTGATGACCCACCATAGATGGGCTAGGTTGTGCTTGAGGTCGAGGTGAAGTTGGGGTGGTAGAAGGCTTTGGCTACAAAAAGAAAAATAAAATTCAACAGTCTCAAGGTGAAAAGTTAACTATTATTGCAATTTTCAGGTTGATTTTACTAATCTTTACAATTTTTATTTACTTTTTTTTGGTACCATGGATTGAACTCAGGATCTTGTGCTGCTCTTGGCCAGGCAGGCACAGCGGCACTGAGCTAAATTCCCAGCCCATTTGTTTGTTCGTTTGTTCATTTGTTTTGGTACCGGGGATTGAACTTGGGACCTTGCTCTTGCAAGGCAGGTGGTGGAACCACTGAGGTAAATCCCTGGCCCTTTGGGCAGTGATTTTTACTTCTTTTTTTTTTTTGGTACTGGGGATCGAACTCAGGTCCTTGCGCTTGCGCAGCAGGTGGCAAAACCACTGAGCTAAATCCCTGGCCCCAGGCAGTGATTTTTAAAAGTTCCAGAGAATGTGTTTTTCAATTTAAAAAAAATAATTTTATAAATCCAGTAGAAAAACAGAACAGTGTAAACTATGAACCTGACAGCCTATGTAGCCAACCTTCTTCAACTTCTGTCTAAATCAGAAAGATTCACAAATTTTCCCCCAGATAACACCTGAGGACCAAACAAGAATCTTTTTTTTAAATTTTATTTTAAAGACAGGGTTTCACTATGTAGTCTAGGCTGGCCTTGAACTCCCAGCAATGCTCCAGCCTCAGCTGCCCAAGTGCTGCAATTATAGGCGTGCCCCACCACGCCTGGCAAGAATTTTTTTTTGCAGCTAGAAAGCATTCACCAATGACCCATATGAGCAAAAGAAACAGTTGTTTTAGCATAGTAAACTGAACTTAACATCAGGTATGGGAGGGGGTAGACTATAACCAATTATAATTCTTTTCAGACACTAGATTACCTAGAAGAAAATAACAAAGTTACCTGAGAAAAAGAACGAGGGTTGAACTCCTTTGCATTGGGATTCAATGTTGACTTTCTAACTTGCCTAAATCAGAAAAAAATACAAAGGCCAGTGAAATCTGCATGGGCTTTGTGTTTCCCTAAAATTTTCCATACCTTATCTGTTTTTAAAATTGTTAAACATATAAATATAAGCAATTCTCACCAGACCATTAGTCTTTATAAAATACACGCATGCATGCACACATGTGTGCACACCCCCACACAACCACCCCACATTACCCTTTCCTTAATTTGATAAAGAAGCTAAGCAAGAACAAAATTTGTTCTTAAAAATTCTTAGTACACAACTGCTTGTCTTATAGGCTATCAACAAATACTTAAGCTAAAAAGACAGTAGCTCCTTATAACATATCCTTGTATGAAAAGCAATGCTTACTACATCTGTATTCTATAATCTGCAATCATTTTTTTTTTTTTGGTACCAGTCATCGAACTTGGGTCCTTGCGCTTGCACAGCAGGCAGCAAAACCACGGAGCTAAATCCCCGGCCCTCTGCAATCATTTTTAATGTGATAAGATACTTTTTACATATCTTGAGAAAAGTTACGGGTCTAATGAAATTTTTGCCTCAAACCAAGAATAAGCAATTCCCCAATTTAAAAAGCTGTATCTCAAAAATTCAGCTATAACCGGGTTGATAGTCAGAACACATAAGTCACTGGTGGTTAGGGTCTGAGGCATTTTTCTTTTGTTTTGTAATTTTGTTTTATGAGTCAGAGTCTCACTATGTAGCTCAGGCTGGCCTCAAACTTACAGTGATCCTCTTGCCTTGGCCTCCAGAGTACTGAGGTTCCAGGCTCACACCACAATACCTGGCTTCTGAAGCCATTTAACTGATGAAACACCAGGTATGTACAATTTATGCCTGGCTCCCTCACCTGGGAGCACAAAACAAACAGAAGAGCAGCGAAGGTGGAATGATCTAATCTGCCTAAGACAACATTTGTTTAGGTCAATTGTTTGTAACTTAATGCATTTTATAAAGCAGTCTAAAAGTCCAGATAGACTGAGTTGAAAAGACAGAATACACTAAACAAAAATAAAGTTATCTGAATAACAGGATTTGTTAAATTCCAGTTTTACTCACTCAGCTGCATCTTTCTTCTCCTCTTTATCGTCTTTCTCTTGTTTACACGCGGGACCAGAAGTCTGTACTCCTTGGGATGTGACCTCGGGGCCCCTCTTGTGCTCTGTGTTACTAAGTATTGAAGGGGAGATGCTGGGGCTACTCGGCTTGCTGCTGCCACTGGTGCAGTTGCTGCTATTTTCAATGAAAGAGTCCTTAGCACTTGGTTCAATTTTCTCTTTGATCAAATCTCTTGATTTTTCTCCCTCTCTATTTTTGTTTAGTACTTGATCCATAGATTCAGAAGTGGAACTTGGCTGTAACTAAATAAAGGAAATAATCACACTTAAATATTTTAAATAGCTCTAGTAATCAATTTTTTCCATGAGTACAAGCAAAGTAATATTATCTATGAACATGAAGTATTTTGAGTAAGGGTATTTTCCATATTTTAAGAGTAATGCTTTTATTACAAGTCAACAATAATACAGTACCTATACAATACACAGTCATACAAGACTCAAATACCTTAAAGCTAAATATTTACTGCATGCCTATCACACATGAACAACTGTGCTTATTGGCTATGGAAACTATGAAGTAGTTTAATCCTCCTATACTTGCCATCTGCATAAGATCAGACACAACAACAAAATACAGAAAAATGCTACAGGAGCCCCATAGGAAAAGCAACCCACAGGAAGGGAAGGCTTCTCAATGGTATTGTCATCTAGTCTAAGGTGTGAACAATCTCTAGGAGATGAGTTTAGAAAAGGGAACACTCTAAACAAGAGAAGCTGCATGTTTAAAAACCCAAAGGAAAGGAAAGAGACAGCTCCATCACAAAAGAGGAAAGATCTAGCGGCTACAGGGTGGTACTCACAGGCACCATGAAGGCAGAAAAGACAAACTGGCCCAGAAGGAGCTAGATGATAAAGGAGCTTCAAGGCCATGCTGAGGACTGATTCTAATTTTCAGGGACATGGAAAGCCACTGAGGAATTTTAAGCAGGGTATCATACTGAGCAATTTGCAGTTCAGAAAGAGGAACAGTGCACCTGTGCAGAGACAACCAACCTGGAGGGAGGCAAGTGAAGGTGTGGAGACCACTGTAGGCTGGGCTACAACCGGAGCACAGCAGGCTTGGGGAAGCAGGAGATGGATATAGAGGGGATGTGATTAGAGGGTTGAGTCAGTGAGGACTTCTAAACACTTAAGAAGGGTGGGACCATCAAGAGCAGAAAACATAAATGTTTGTTAAATAATTGAGGGTTTTAAAATTTACAGACCACAAGAAATAAATGCTACCAACGGTTGAAGATGATTTTAGATGTCATCTTCCACAAAAGAGAGAAAACAGGGACAGATTACAGAAATGACAAGAAATTGGGCAGAAAAAGATAAAGCCCGGCACAGTGGTGCACACCTATGATACCAGCACTGAGGAAGACTGAAGCAAGAGGACTGCAAATTTGAGTACTGCCTGGGCAACTAACTTAGCAAAACCCTGTCTCAAAATTTAAAAAAATATACTAAAAGTGTTGGTGATGTGGCTCTGGGATAGGGTGCCCCTGCTTTAATCCCCATTAGCACACAAACACACACGAAAAGAAAAGAAAGAGCAAATAGGAGCAGCAAACGCTGAAATGAGAGCAGACACAAGCAGCAGCCCAGGAAACAAGAACACGCAAAAGAGCAATCTGTACAACAGAGGTCACTCAAGGTTGTGCGAGCTGATACCTCTTCAGCCTCAGCACTTCCACCTGTACGGGGAGCGCACCTGTACTACCCATGCTGAGACTGAGTTTTAGGCCAGCCTTGGCAATACAGTAAGACCTCCGCCTCAAATAACAACCAACCAAAGGTGTCCTACCGAGGCCCATGTGTCAAAGCGAACAACAACTCAATCACTACCTCACCAACACAGCTGCTGGGTCCTCAAGTAGCTCAGGGCAAAAATTAATAGAGGCATCTATTTGGGCCCTGTGGCAAATTAAGTCACAATATAGGAACTTACTGTTGGGTCTGCCTTTATTACCAAAGTAGTTGAGGCTACATACATAACAGACCAACTGTGTCCTACAGAAGACTTCAAGAGTATTCACCACAAGGTTCCTTGAGGGCAAAAATAAGACTTTAGTCGTTGCTATTATTCCTACAATGGGAAATACACCCATAGTGCTTCCTGCGGGCTGGATGCTGTTAAAAATATTTACTCATACATTTAGTCTGTATAAAGAACTCTCTGATATAGGCACTATTACTGCCATCTTACAAATGGCAAGTCCACAGGGAAACTAACATGTAATTCACACCCTCATTTGGGGATGGAACCCAAGGCCTCACACAAACTAAGCATGTACTCTGCCACCGAGCATCATCCTCAGACAGAAAGAAAACACTGACAGTCATCTATATTTTGGTAATAGGAATTAGCATGATTGAAAACCAGGTTTAGTGCCACATACCTGCAATGCAAGCACTTGAGAAGCTGAGGTAGGAGGATCACAGCAAGCTTAAGGGCAGCCTGGGCTACACAGTTCAAGGCTAGCCTGAACTACATAGTGAGACCCTGTCTGTACCCTGTCCCTCCAAAAATAGGAATTGACATGACTGAGTGCATGGGTACTATGCGCCAAGCACTATCTTAAACAACCCACAGGTAATTCTCATTTAAATCTCACAAGAACAAATCTACAATTATATACATTATCCTACAATTAAAACAGGTTCTACAACTATTCCCTCTTAGCTTGGGAAGAGTGGAGAGGGTGTTCCATGTCCCATTGATGGGGTATGTGGGCCAATATTCAAATGCAGGTCTTGTTACATCACAATACCAGCAATTCTTTTTTTTTTTTTTTTTTGTACCGGGGATCGAACTCGGGACCTTATGCTTTCGAGGCAGGCGCCAGAACCACTGAGCTAAATCCCCGGCCCAATTCTTACACATATAAAACAATCAGCCTCCTGAACATAGGTATCCCTAGAACCTATAGATAGCTCTCAAGGGTAAAAGGCAGGGCTAAAGCTAAAAACTCACAGGATATTTCCATTTCTGACTCAGTGAAAGACTAGATTTTTGTGAAAAAATGTAATTCAGGGCCAGGGATTTAGCTCAGTGGTTCCGCTTCCGGCCTCGAAAGTGCAAGGTCCAGAGTTCGATCCCTGGTCCCCCAAAAAATGTAATTCAAGGCCACACACACCTGTCACAAGGGTGACTCTGATGATTCACTCATAACAGTGCAATACATGCCATTCGCGGCTGTTTAAAGCATTAGCAGCTTAAACATCAGATGGCCAGGTGGCATTATTTACCAGCAGTGTGACTTTGAGAAATAACTTCTCTTTGCCTCAGTTTCCTCATATACATACTGCACGATGCCTTGTCATTGTCATAACCTGCTTCAGTGGAAAATCAGGATTATAAGGATGCATAAGCACTCAGAATACTGTCTGGTATGTAGAAAATGCTCCATAATTGTAAGCTAATATTACTTTACCTTAATAATCCTAGGGCTGGGGATTTAGCTCAATGGCACTGTGCCTGCCTCACAAGTACAAGGTCCTAAGTTTGATCCCCACTACCAAACAAAACAAAACAAAACAAAAATAATCCTAAGGCTCACCTTATGATTTTAAGAAATGTTTCTTAAAACCATGCATTTCTTGGACTGGGGATTTAGCTCAGTGGTACACCGCCTGCCTGGCAAGCATGAGCACCACTGAGCTAAACCCCAGCCCGGAACTATTCTTGTAATCTTATTGGTTGATAATAGTTTTGTCCCATCTTATACCCACCTTGTGATTTTGCTCTATAAAAACTTATTTGAGAAGTGGACTCGTGGGCAATCCTCTCCTGTCTCTCTCAGGCCAGAGCTATCTATTCTTCAAACATTTCTTACTCTTAACCTTGTTTCTAGAATGCATTCTTCGATTTTATAGAACATGAACTAGGGGTAGCACACATTTAGCAGGCTGGGATTTCCCTTATATCATTTGGAGGTCCTTACATCATCCTTGTATCATTCTTGGAGGTCCCAATGAGATAACTGAAAAGAGGTTAAGAGTTTACTTTCATTTCATAGATTCTGGATTGTGACTTGCTTAGGTAATCAAAAATTGTCATCCTTGTTCATAAAGTGCTTATGCTTTAAATTTTTATTCCCTGTCTTTGTCAGTTACTTATGCTTTGAATTTTTATACCTTGTCATTGACAGTTGCTTATACCTTATATTTTTATGCCTTATTTCTCTTATGCATTGTCTTTTGTTAAAATGATGGTGAGTTAAAAAAAAAAAAAGATGGGGCCAGGGATTTAGCTCAGTGGTTTTGCTGCCTACTGCTCAAGCGCAAGGACCTGAGTTCGATCCCCGGTACCAAAAAAAAAAAAAAAAGATGGTGAATTTAAGTTGAGAACATGGGAAGATTATGCTTCTTTGATGAGATATTTTATATATGCTGTATTTGGACTTAAGTTACTGGACTTGGTATAGTGTCCCTTGTTTGACCTGTTCAACTGTTGTGGTCTGTTAGCTTAGGCAGCAGCGCTAGGGAAAAGTAATATTAGAGTGTCCCCTAGTGGACTCTGACATGAAATGCTATAGAATGATTCTTTTATGAAATCTTGTTTATATTCAGGAAATACATGTGCCTATTAAATCATGAGACTCCTTCTGCCAATTAAAAGGCAATAGCCCAGCAGGTGTTTTTAAGACTTGGAGGACAGGTTTCACTGGGACAAACTGGCCCCAACCGCCCCTCTACATCCTAGAGGCAATGTCATGCCTGTTCTGCCTCAGTTTCCTTTTTGGTCTGATTTTCTGCTTGTGAAAAGGCAATCTTAGCTCTTGAGATTCCCCATTCTCGCCTTTCCAGGCTGAGAGTGACAACTCATGAGCAAGTTGTCTCTATTAATAACTCACCGTGAGCATAAGAAAAGACTTTCTTTTGCTGATCTCATTTCTGATCTTTCCCTGCCACTTTGTACTTTCGTTTTTAGGAGGCACATAAGACTAGAGAGAAAGGAACCATAAAGTGCCCCAACCTTTTCCTCCTAAGAAATTTTTTTAAGTTACGCCCATAGAGAACAAGCGCTTGTTAACACCAAAGACAGGGAAGTCATCTTAGATGAAGACAGCTCAGGCGTTTATGTCCTTTATAGAACTCCTAACGGGTTACTCTGCCAACTAGTTAAACACTCTTAGAGCAGCTGCCCATCTTAAAGCAGAGGACAGGTTTCTCTAGCACTTTTTGGCCAATCCCCTTTGAAGCCAATGGAATGCTGACCAGACACGCAGCCAGATTCCTTTCTAGAGACAAAT